CTCCTGAGCTGCAAGTGGCTGAACACAGACCGGAAAATCCTGCAGGATAGTCTTGGGAAGGTACAGCTGACTCTCCCTCTCCTCCTCCACACCAAGCAAGGCATCAAGGCCACCTTGGACTTCATCAGCAGGACCAAGGTTGGCACAAAGAGGTGGCATCTTGGGCAGTCTTCAGAAGACCTAGCATAGGCATGCTATAACAGCTTCTCTTTCCTTTGTTTGTTTGTTTTGTACTTCTTTTGTTTCCAGCATCTTTGCTCTGGGCCTGAGCCCTCACCATCCCTTGTACCTCCATTGACCTCACTCTCATGTAACTAAATCCTTGCATTACCAGAGGAGCTACTGCTCCTCTTGTCTTCCATAGTCTTAGACTCAGATAGGACGTTAAACCAATCAATCAATCAATCAATCAATCAGTATACTCTGTACTACTCATTGCAACCAGTTGCCATGGTCTTTGATTAGACGACTACCCCCTGATTATCACGGCGATTTATCACAGCGATTTATCACGGTCAAACCTCTGCCGCTCCAAGCTCGCTCAGTGATAACCAACCCCCAACGGCTTTCTGTACCTCTGCTCATCCCCGAGAACCAACCGAATAGTGTCTACGAGCTTTGCTTAAGACACAACTTCAACAGATGTCCGAAGTAAGTGTGAGTCCACTGCGAGGCATATGGGAGTGCTGGGACGTTGAGAACACTAGGATTGAATTCCCTACACTTATAGGTCTTGTACGAAAGGATACAGGAAAACTACTCTATCTAACGACTGTGTCGGACAGATTAAATATACAGTTCGTAGGGGAAACGGAACTACCCATGTCTAGGTGACACGGAGGTAGTTAGCAACAGGAAGGAGAGCGGTGTGCTGAGTCCTGCAGGGGCTACACGTTATCGGAGTGCTTTTGGTCAAAGGCGTTACACTTCCCACCTCTAGACAGTTCTCACTCATGCTTGCAACTCAATTCAATTCACCTTTCAATTCATTCCTCAACTCACTCCTCACTGATCCTTAGTGGTATCCCCACACTTGATCCCTTCTTTATCACTTATCCCTTTTACCACTTGTGGTATCCCCACACTTGTTCTCTTCTACACCCTTATCTCCAACAAGCCTGAACCATCCTTCCACCAATCCTTCCATCTCAGAGAGCAGTTGGTATCCCCAGCTGGCCCCCTCTCACACTAGTGCCTACAAGCTTTGCTTAAGACACAACCTCAACACGCAGCCTCACTGCTCCGGTTGCTTGAGTTGCTCAACTGAGAGTGATGATCATACTGAGTATTGCTGATGTGGCCCACTGCTTGGGTCAATCAATACTACAGGTCCTTTGATCCTCTTGTATTGTTGCGTAGTCCTGTTTGTTCAGTGTTGTTGCGGCTTGCCCTTTGATTGTAACAGGTATGGGTTGTCTCCAATTTTGGGTTAGGTCAGGGTTAGGGTCTTATGTAAAGCAACCCAACCCTGACCTAACCCCTACCCATTTGCCAGCCTAGATCAGGGAACACCATAGGCCTTAGCAGCCTTCTGCTGACTTGAAAAACACCAGCTTCAAGATTGCTGACAGCAGATTGTATAGCAACTTCACAGGCATCCATTTTGAGTAGGTGGTGTTGATAGTATAGCGTGTTGAATGCTAGGTAACGCGTTGTGGTGGGGTGGCCGATCACTATATGTGGCCGACCACTATATGGCTGAGCTTAGGTGTGATGCCGTTGAGATTCAAAGTTACCCCTCACTAGTGCACGTGATGTTCAAGGTATTTTGAAAACCATCATAGCATTGTCCGGATGCTCCGGGATCAAAAAATTGACTTTCATTGAGAACAATAACCTCCTCACGGCCAGAGCTTGCCATCGCGCACTCACAGTAAAACTCATCCGCAGATTTATCACGGCCTCTTTTAGTCCGGACTGTTCGGCGTCGCGAATCTCGCACGCCGCAAGGCCGACTGCAGTTCGGTCCTTCAAGCGCTAGCTGACATCACTGCCGTTACCCGCCGCAGAGCGCTCATAGCTAAATACGATGACGCGAAATATTACTTACATCTAATCGTTTCCCCTCTGATGTTCTCTCCTGGACAATCATCGCTCCTCTGACCTTCATACACGACACACAAACATGGCGGAGCTTACCAGAGTTGAATCGATGCAATACCCTGCTGGGCACTTGGCGCATCTTTCACAGAACCAGCAAGCACAGCTGGAAGCATTTGAGAAGCTTGCACAGGAGCAAGGCTACTACACGCCCGCCACAGAAACAACCGAAGCCAGCCATGATGACGAGACGATGCTGTACGCTTGCTTTTGGGAACTTTGAAGCGTACCGGCGGGGCGCTAACAACATGCAGTCGATTCTTGCGCGCGCGTCGCTTCGTGCCGCAAGATGCCTTTAAGCAGTTCAAGGACACCGAGGACTGGCGCAAAGACCAGAACATCGTCGACCTGTTCGAGACTATCGAGGTTGAAGAGTATGAGCAGACACGCCAACTGGTATCTTCTCCTCTTTCCCCGCACGCGCAGCGTTGTGTCTGACAGCTACACATAGTATCCCCAATGGCTCGGCCGACGCGACAAACGCGGCATTCCGCTGTACCTGTTCGAGGTCGCTCCTCTGAACTCCAAGAACATTTCTGCGTACGAGAAGGCCCTTGCTAAGGCAAGGACAACATCGCCCAAGGTCGCAACAAAGAATCTTCGTTTATTCGCCCTATACGAATCGCTCACTCGTTTTGTCACACCTCTGTGCTCGATGGTCAAACGTCCGCACCCTGAGACGCCCATTTCGCAGAGCAACAACATTGTGGATATCAGCAACGTTGGGCTGAAGCAGTTCTGGAACCTGAAGAGCCACATGCAGGATGCATCCGTTTTGGCCACAGCCCACTACCCTGAGACCCTCGACCGTATTTTCATTGTCGGTGCACCCGGCTTCTTTCCTACCGTCTGGGGCTGGGTCAAGCGTTGGTTTGACCCTATCACTGTTTCCAAGATCTTCATATTGTCGCCAGCCAACGTCTATGCTACGCTTTCCGAGTACATCGACCACGACAACATCCCCAAAAAGTATGGAGGTGGACTAGATTTCGAGTGGACCCAGATGCCGAACCTTGAGCCAGAGATCGAGGCTGCCGTTAAGTGGGAGAAGCCACGCATGCAGAACGGCAAGAAAACACTGCCTGTTGGACCTGTGAAGTGGGAGAAGGGGCAAAATGGCGAGATGCAAGCCTGGGCAGTAGGACGACAGAATGGTCAACCTCGCCGAGAACTTGTTTTCACCATACCGAACCCTGTGGGCTACAAGACCAAGCCAGTGGCTAATATACCCGCGCACGAGCTCGGCAATCCTCTCACAACTGTAGGCACCGCAACTCACCCTCCGGATGTAGACGACTCGACAACCGAACAGTCACCTCCGTCTGACTTGCCCTTGCCATCTGAGACACACCAATCACCGAATGTGGCTGCAGCCAGTACAGCGCCCTCGTCTACCCCTGCACAGACAGAGTTACCTATTCGCGAGGGCACTTCGGAGGCACGCTACGAGCAACAAAATCAGACACATGCTGCAGGCCAGCTTACAGAAGGTACACCACAGGCAGCCGTAAATGATCATGGGTACGGCGATAAGACAGTAACGATGGAGCCAAACACAGTCGGTCAGGCGCCGAAGGAGATTCCACTTCCCGAACGCGAAGAGCCTCCTGCACCAGGCTATCTCGAGCAGGCGCAGAACGTAGCTGCTCAGGCCTCAGGATACGTCACTTCGACTGTATCATCCGTTGCTGACGCTGTGACTGGCGCTGTATCAGGCAATGCAGACAAGAAAAAAGACGAGGTTGTAGAACCCACACGAACCAAGAGCCCTGAAGAGCAGCAGCTAGATAGGCAGATCGATGCGAGCAAAGATCAAGATGTAGAAGTCTTCCTGCGCGAGCAGAACCGAAGCAGGGCATAGAAAGTCTGGCGTTGCATCTTGTGTTTTCGATGAGATGGTGTACGATACCTTGGTGGCTTAGATAGCTCTGCACCTCATACCATGTCCGGGAGATCGGCATGGCCTTACGAATGAACGTTTGCCTCACTTGTTGCCCATTACTAGACACACGTCGACGGGAATGGATGCCGACCTTCTTGGACCAAGCTGAAGTACTGGATGGCTAGCGGCTGATATGGCTGGCTACACGAGAAGCAGGTCCGGGCCTGGTGAGTGGTACGGATGCGAGACACTGTATCACGGAGGGTACCGATCCTGTGGACTGTGGATCGTGGAGTGTTGCACGCGTACCTCGTGCGCGTTGTTTGGAGGTCGGTCACTTGGTGTGAGGCAGGTACAGGTCGTGATAATGAGTTCGGAAGATTGATGAGAGCCCGACTGCTACATTGTCTCTGCCCACAGTAACGCCGTGGGTGGGAGATTCATAACCTAGGTGTGACATTGATGTTAGACGTTGGGACAGCAAGTAGGTCGTTCTCTATCATTGTCTCTCAGCACAATCACTGTCTTTGAAGGCGGGGAACGAAATCCTTGGAGAGTCTACGCTGGCGAGAGCGAGGCATTCCACATTGTCACAACAGCACTCCCCTCGTACTACTCTTGTAGGCAGCTATTATGTTGCCGACGCGGCGCGTTGCAACCTGCGCCCCATAGGAGTGTTCATTGGCTCATACACATGTTGTGTACAGGGATCCACAGTTTGACGTGTGGCACATTCGTAACTTTGGCTGCGCCAGCGCTAGCGAGGGCGTGGCAACCCGTGCAGGCAATGGACGAACCAGCCCAACTGTGTCTTGTGATCATGAGGGAGCAGCTGCATTCATATCGATCTTCAACCAGCGCCTGCTTCTTCTGTCGCAGTAGTCAGGTACCATAGGACGAGGTGGCAACTTACGTATGAGAAAGCACGTACCTTGCGTTCCTTAAGTCAGATACGTGTTTGTCTTGTCATCAGCTGGATTTGCGGCAATCTTCTCCTCGGCAGGAGTGGCAACAGCAATGGTGGGCAGTACGAATTCATCATTGCTCATGTCGGAATTTCCCGCCTACTCAGAGTCACCTTCACCATAGCCCTCATACTTTCGTCCTCCCCGTCGCGCTCGTCATGCTCGTCCTATATTTCGATACTCTCAGCGCCCTCATCCTTATTCGAAGGTTGTGGTTCATCCTTCTGCAGCATATGCTCCAGATCACTCAGTTCCTCGTGTATCTCCTTCATGTGCTTCTCGGTAGCCTCGTCTTCACCCTCAGGATGCCAGCATCGCGTAGCCTTCCACAATGCTTCTGCGTCTGTGACATTTCTTTGCTTCGTACCAGTCGCCAAGGACACCTCCGAGTAGGATGAGTGTCTTCATGCGGTGGTACCTGGGACAGGCGCTATCATCGAGGATCTCTCTGGCTTGGAGGAGGCAGTCTTCGAGACGGTCGCTGTCGAAGTAGTCATAGGCCCTGTCGAGGCGTTTGGAGAAGTTCTTGTCGATCAGAGCGGCGTCAGCCATCTTTGTTGTCATGCTTAGTGAAGGATGTGAGCTGCAAAAGTTAGGACAATTGCGAGTGCTTGTCAGAAGATTGGGGCTTGCAGAGGTGAAGTGAAGGTGAAGGACAGCGCAAGTTTTGGGTAAGCGGGAAGCGAGGCAGGGATGGTACCAACAATAATTGGCCCCGGGTATATATTTCCTACGGACATATGCAATCACACTCAGTGTAATTGACACAGCCAGTCATTACCACATCTTGTCCTCATTCAATATATGTAATCATAGTCGTATTCCGCCTCGTCGCAGAAGTGATAAGTGTTGAGAGCTCACCACTCCTACAAACTCTTGATGGACACCCAGTGGCGACTTAAACGGTAGTCGCAGTCTTGGCAGCAACGTTATCGGTGCCGACTGGAATCTCGATATGCTTCTCGCCAAGGTGCATCTCGGAAGCGAAGGTGCTGTGAGGCTTCCACTTGCGAGAGGTGCGGGGAGTAGACTCCTCAAGCATCTTGTCGACCTGCTCGAGAGTAAGACCCTTGGTCTCAGGAACGAGGAAGTAGGCGAAGAAGAAAGAGATGCAGCAGAGACCGCCCCACATGAAGAAGACGTTGGAACCGAGACGAGCAGAGTCGGCACGGTCAGCGACCAGGTAGGGGGTAATGACACCGATGATGCAGTTCCAGAACCTACAAGGAATCAGTATCGTACCTCAAGGATTAGCATGGATTACAATAGTACATACCAGTTAGAGGCAGTGGACAGACCGACACCGCGCGAACGGATGGTGAGCGGGAAGATCTCACCAATGACGATCCAGGCAGCGGGACCCCAGGTAGTGGCGAAGACGGAGATGTTCAAGCAGATAAAGGCAATCATGGCGCGGGTAGCGTTGGGGTTGGCGGGATGGTCGGCAGTGTTCTTGCCAGCTGTGGCACCAATAGCACCAACGATGAACTGCATGATGACCATACCAGCGGCACCGAAGATGAGGATACGTCGGCGACCGATCTTCTCAACCATTACGAAGGAAGCGGGTGTAGAAAGCACGTTGACGAGGGTGGTGACGAGGGAGATGAGGAAGGGGTTGCTGATGGATCCGAGCTGCTGGAAGAAGACAGGGCCACTACAGGATATTAGCACACCAACACCTCGAAATCTATGGCTTTTGGGACTACTTAAAAATAGAAGATAAAGTTAATACCGGTAAGCTGCTGCATCATCTGCATACAGATACCGAGGATGGTGCGGCGCTTGTTGGAGGCAGGGTTGGTGATCTTGCCCTCGAAACAAGACATCCAGGACCCGAGGTAGCTGGTCTGGGGAACGACGGACATCTCGTACTCGTGGTTGGCAATGATCTCAGCAAGTTCATCCTGGATGTACTCGGAGTCAAGGGGCTGGCCACGAACGCGGCCAAGAGCGTGAGCAGCCTTGTCAAGCTTGCCCTTCTTGACCCAGTAACGAGGAGACTCAGGGAGTAGAGCAAGACCGACAGCCAGGATGATGGCCCAGAGGAACTGCACGGCGATAGGAATACGGTAAGAGCCAGTGTCGCGGCGGTTCTGAGTGCCGTAGACAACGCAGTTGGCGAGCAGGATACCAATGGTAATGCAGAACTGGTAACCAGCAACAACGGCACCACGGACCTTGCGAGGAGCGATCTCAGACATGTACCTGTTCTTGTTAGTGGCTGCGTTGAGACATGATGTTCGTAAGTGACTTACAGAATGACGATGGCGGAGATGAAACCAACACCGAAACCAGCGATGAGACGACCCGCGACCATGACGTTGAGACCAGTGGAGGCAGTCTCGAGGATACCACCGACAGAGAAGATTACGCAACCCAGAATGATGGTCATGCGACGACCGATGAAGTCGGCAAGGTCACCGGCGATGATAGCACCGAAGAAGGTACCGGCAGAGAGAATGGAGGTGGTCAGAGATTGTTGCCACGATGGAACACTGAAGAATTCGTTGCGGTATGTCTTGATCTGGTCGGCAGTGGCGTCAGGGTTCCAAACATCGGGGTAGTCGTAGCCAGTGTACTGCTTGATGAAGTAGTCCATGTTAAGGACACCACCCATCCAACCGGTATCATATCCGAAGAAGATACCACCGAAAGCTGCGAAAGCAACGATCAGGTAGGCACGAACGGTGACGGGGGCCTCAACGCGGTTGACATCGGAGGTACCGGTGACGGGGACAGCTCCACCACCAGGCATGATTGCTGTTGTAGTGTAGTTGGTTATGTGGTAAGGTGGGGTGACAAGATATATGAGGCTCTTCGATCAGGAAGAGGAGTCCCGCGCAGCGAGGGTGAGTGAAAGCTGGGGATGTCTTTGGAACTGCGCAGGACCCCAGCTTTTAATGTCGATCCCAAGGAGCAGTAATACAGCAAGCACGGTGCATGCGAGTGGCTTCTAGTGGATGGGTAGAGTAACATTGCACATTTCAGCCTATACTCGATATGGATGCTACTCCGCATCTCACTTCTAGAAGGGCTTGTCGCTTTTCCCCACAAGCCTCTCGCTCAGCCTAGTGAAAGGCAACCTGCGCACATGACTGAGACTGCAGGAACAGCATGATCACGCCTTGTCCTTCTCTTGTGTTGTCGCTTGCGATGCGCGGCCTGTAAACTCGAATCTCTTCATGTGAAGCGGAAATCCAACAGTCGGTCCGGGATGCGGGTTATCGATTGACCGGAGAACGAATCTGGGGCCGCCAAATCCTCCAAGCATCACCCGAAGCCAGTTCTTAGCTGCAGGTTCTGTTAGGACCCCTGCAACCAACCGAGGCGGCGTGCATGAGCGAATGAAAGTTCGGACTCTCGAGTGAACTCAACGCTAAATCGCGCTTTCATAAAAGCATCACATGCCGTGCCGTTTTGTTCGAAGCTGGCGCCCAGCCACCTAGCCCCTGCACTTGGCTTACATGGAAGCAACGAATGACCGTAAAATGTCTTTTAGCTTTGTCATGGCGACGGTCGGTCATAACTATGAATGCCGGGTGCGGTAAGCCACAACGCGCCAGTGCTGTGTGTCTAGGCCAACATTCACTGCTTCTGATAGTCAATAAATCTTTGTGTGTAGGATTCACCGCGCCCTGAGTTTGGAAATGGCCTTGTACATCCTCGCGAGAGCTTGTGCGATGCTCGAAGCTGGATAAAGCGTGGCAGGTGCATCCCGCCTTAACAACCGCGTGCGTGGTGGTGTGTCTCCGTTACCAGGATGGTACGCCAATACCTAACAGGAGTATTGATTGGATGGCGTCTCTGACACGCCAGGGTCTGGATCAAAAGCTGGGGATAAAAGTCTCCAATGGTGATGGCCGTTGCATCGAAGCTCGAATCAGTGGCCGCCTCGTACCACATGCCTGTCTCATGGTCAATTTCAGATAGTTCGCTTCCTCGTCAGCTTGTCACACCAAGAACTAGCCGCAACCGCTTCTATTTTCACAATCAAACAAGCTGTGGTGTTCACAAGCAATGGTGGCGCCGTTGGCATTGTAGTCACCATCCCTTTTGTTGTTCACATCCGTGCGGCGTATCTGGAGAACCTTGTTGTCAGGCGGTCATAGGTACTCCCGGGACGACAACGAGCGAATGGCGTAAAGCGTTGACCGCTGCATGACTTCCGGGCGCAGATTTCCGATCCGCGATGAAGAAGCAAGCCATAGGAGAAGGAGCACATGACGGAGCGACAGTGAACGAATGATGGGGGCAAATCAACCGCCATCACATGCGTGTCACCAACGGTCCTGAATGTCTGCATCTGGGGTAGGCACCCCACCACAAAGGGGTTTGTAACCTCCGCGCCGTGCTCCCATTAGCAGACTCCTTGTCAGAAGCTGTAGGGTATTTTTATGTTTGCAAGCCACAAGTTTATGAAGATTTTTCTGTCGCATTGCCGTATACAAAGTTCCGCGGCAAGGCGACTGTTTTGGTGTGCTGATTTCCGGGCGCGCCCAGAAAAAGCATAGGCAGCATCCATGAGGCGTGGTCGCCGATCAGACCCGTAACCATCGCGGTTCCTTATACACGTTCAACGCGTGGCTACTGACTGACATGTTGACGGACTGCATCGTACAAAGCGTGTGTAGAGACTGCCTTCGCATGCAACCTTCGACGACACAGAAACAGCGATTCGTGTGCGCTCTGCAGCAATTGCAAGGCGCTAACTCCGGAAGGCAGTGCCAAGCGAGCGCAAACTGACTTTCCAAGATGCTGAAGGAGTTATCATACTCTTTATGGTAAGAAGCCGTACATGCGATCAAGGACCCACAGCGATCGGAACTGGCGAAGCTTTTGTAACGGCAGTACTATGGACATACTCTGGCCTTCAGAGCGATCGAGGTTTGGGTAACTGTCATGATCTCCTGGGCAAAATTCGCACCAGCAGAAACAAGCATCAGGCGATGTGTAAAGCGTTCTTGATAGACAGTGGTCGTTGCTGATGTTCTGCTGATGTTCACGGGAGGTGGAGAAGGGTCTCGACTGTATCCAATTTTCTTGCAACTCCACTTCGGGGCTCCGCAAAGTCTCCAGGTCGGCAGAACTTTTATGCTGATTCATGATGGTCGTTGAGGACTAGAGGCCACGCGAGACCCACTTTCGGGAGTCACGACAATTCCCGTGCCCTCTCGTACCACACGGCAGCGGTACCGTAGTAGTCAGGGCAGAAATCTAACATGGACTATCGTCGGCTTGCTCCGAAGAGCCTCAGCGGCCGAGCGCTTCGTACTTCCTGACCAAGCAGCTAGGGGTTCTAGAAAATTGAAGATGGTCAGCAACGCAGCATCTGAATTCTGAAGCCGTGTACAACTACCAGCATAATACGATATCGATGACGGAACCAATCTGCCGATATGCGCCCAAGGATCTTCTGCAGGCGCTGTGCAGGAGCTGTGCTGACGTTGCTTGCGGAGCTCCCTTAGCAAAGAATCGAGGCGATAGGGACAGACCGCGTGATCATCACAGGCGCCGCACGCGTAGTAGCTCAGCTATGATGCGACTGGACAGTACCGCTGAACGTTGATACAAGTTGCTGCGCAAAAAAGGGGTTCGTTGGACTCGCTGCGAACAACGTGGCAATGAGGTGATCACGACCCCCGGGAGCGCGTCGCGCCTGTGAGTGGGGTGCACGCGCACGTGTGCGAGCCCTCTCACAAAGTCCTTCGCCTCTATAGTAGAAACATATCCGCCATTCTCCACACAACATGGCTGTAAGTAAGACATGCTTGCTATAGACGTTATACGCTAACACCTCCATAGCCCCGCGAAACTACATATGGTATCGTTGTTGATGCAAATCCCCCAGCCTATCCAGGCGGTATCGTCGAGGTGCACCACCACCATCACCACACACTCTGCGCCCGCAATGCACGTTATTCTGCATTCTGCAGAATCCTCCTCGTAGTCATCCTCGTGTTCTTCATCATTGCTTCCTTCGGCATCGTCACATTCGTTGCGTGGAACTTTCACGAGGTTGCTGAGTGCGAAAAGCACCGGCTGCCTTGGGAGAAGCCTTGCAAAGACTGGCTGGGCAAAGACTTGAAGGATTGGCTAGGTCGAAGCTCATTTGTATGAGCTTGATCACAAGCATTCGAGCGAGAATAACTCCTGATACGAAGTCAAAGCGTAGCATCCTCGGTCTTGAGGGCGTTTGATACGGGAAGAGCGCAGCGTCCATGAGCTTCCAAGAATCTCGAACATCTGTACTCTATGTCGCAAGGCGCCTAAACATGAACTCTTAATTTTATATGTACCATCAATGAAGATGTGAGGCTTTTGTTGTCGATGGTTGGAAAGTCGTGTGAGGCCCTCCCTGGTTAGTCGAAATCAAAAGCTCTAGGGTTAAACTTTAGACGCATGCTTTTCCTGCGCCTCGCATTTCTCGGCGTAGCTGGCTATGTTCCTTCACCATCAGTGCATAAACGAAAGTACGGGATACGGAATACTCATGTTCAGCTTATCCAATTGTACGCACATGTTCACAAGAGCGCACGTAGACTTCGCTCGGCTACGACCTAAGTATTGATAGAAGCACGAAATCAAATCGTCGGGATATCTATGAAGCAAATACGCTAACTCTCTGCGCAGAACTTGAACTAAAGTGCGCATTATCTATCAATTTGGAATGTGCTTCAGATCGTTACGCTCATGCAAGCGTTTGATATCGTGCCTGACATCAATAAACTCATTCAACTGCCATTGCGTTAGCTACATTTCCATGTCTTCGAGGTGTGCATGGTTTCACTTGCTGCAGAATATCATCAGGTGTGCTCTTGTTCGGCACGAAGACCAGCTGCCAGTCCGGATACGGCTTCTCTGTGCCAATGTACTTGCCCTCTTCATCTTTGGCGTAGTGTTTGATGTCGTCACAGTCCGCTTCCCCGTCTTCATGGCACTGCTCCAGGGCAACTGGTCTCCAAAGGAGAGCTTGTGGGTACTGTGAATCATCGGCACATCGACTTTGTCGTTTGGGTCGCCCTTATGGAGGGAGCGTAGGTAGGAAGAAGCTTTGTAGGTTGGTGGTATCGCATGATCTACGTATGAAGGCGGTGTGGCTCTGGGTTTATGTGAGTATACAGCTGGCTATTGGGGATATTCATAAGCATACTTCGAGTCGTTTGAAGTGCCCATCTGCATGATCTCCTTGCGTGGACGTTCAATGCTTCTAGCGTGCAACTAGAAGGTCATGCGGTGCTCTTGAGAAGCCAGCGATACGAATAGGGACGACTCCAAGCATGGTTTGGTCTCTGGGGACTCAGGACCAAATAATACGTTTACGAAGAGCGAGGCTGACTTCACCGGCGACACAGCGATATATCCTGCGATGGTAAACTCTACGCCGTGGACTTGCACTGTTGTTTGTCAGGCCCACACTTTTCTCGGTGTGATCTCAGAAGATATGTTCGTGGTAAGATTTGCGCTTGCCAGAAGGTGTTGACCAGTGTTGCAACTACACAAGCTCGATATGAGCGTGCGAACAGTATAGCTCAGGTCACGACGCAGTGGTTATAACGATTCGATGTTCCTCTGGTGCGGCCCAATACTTCTTTGATTGTGAACTTGACAGGTGAAAAGATGATACCTGTTCCCCAGAGCTGTTACGGTGCGTATCCATTGTGAAAGGGCAGCCTGGATGTGATCAGACTACTGATATAGAGAGTGTGTACAACGACCTGCACATCCATTGTGCTGGCATCAGTGTCGCGCAGCGCTGAAACAACATAGAAACTTGCCACTCCTCGTCCACAGAGCCAGTGAAGGCGATCTCTGGCGTAGTGGCGAATAGTCAGTGCTTCGGTAACGTGGCGACACATCCAGTGATCCTGTCCTCGACAGCCCAACTATGGCTTGTGCAAACGTACTTCGTGATCTGATCTCATGCATTGGTGCCTGTGGGCTATTGTGAAGGCCTTGACCAGGTGTGCAAATGGTGAAGACGAAGGGTTCCGCCACGTGGGGACACGGTGGTTGCTCCTTCCTCACAAACAACAAACGCGAATTCGAGTGTTTACATGACGTATGGAGACGCCTTCTGCCTAGTCCAGTTCATTCTTACCATACCACTCGACTGTACAGTCTTGACACGCGCAGTCTAGGCAATCATCTGTCGCCAGTAAGACAAACACTACCGAAACTGCTTCCACACCGATAGTCTCTGTAGTCGCGCTTGCCTTTGACTTACAGTCAACAAATCTCATTACAACAGTGACAATAGGTGCCTGGGGCTACGGTAAGTCAGTACTGCGAACGCTGTGGTGAATCAAATTCAAAACTAATTGTCATTCAGGTCTCTTCCAGTTGGACAATGACTTCGACACCCTCAGCGAGCTAGGCCACGATATGGGCCTCACTAAGCTTGAGTAGGAGTGCAGGCTGTTGCGAAGGCTGCAGGCCAGAGCGACAAAGAAGTCGACAGCATCTACCTCTCCATCTACGGCGGCGCCTCTCACCACGAGGTCGTGCGCAAACACCTTGACTCGGGAGTCCTGGCCGACTTTGTCAAAGTCAAAGAGGCCAAGATGCTGTCCATCCCAAACAGTTCCCAAGACCAGCAGCTCGAGTACCTATTCCGCTACCCATGCTACGGTTATGTTCTACTCGGTGCCTGCGCCATGACACTTGGCTGTCACCTTCCAGAGTCATACATCGACATGCTCAAGATCGTCTACACTGAAGGCGGACTCATGCCAGAAGCCTCAAGCAGATCCACAAGGCGCTCTTCGGTCCAGACAGATACAGGGATGGCGAACCTTACGACTTCGAGTCGGAGGGTCTTATCGAGACAACGAACGCCATGACTGACGACTCCAACGACGAGCTCAACGGCCTCGGATGCAAGGGCTTAAACGTCATAAGGCCAGGTGGTATCTTCAACACTGGTATGGGTAACTCCACGGACTCGGTCATCATTAAGGAACTGCGTAGCAAGCTTCACAGCCCCAATGCATGTGCTGAGTGCTCTACCCGTCACGGATCAGACGGAAGTGCGCTGCTGCAATGCGCCAGATGTAAGGAGCGGAAGTACTACTCTGTGATCTGCCAGAAGAAGCACTGGAAGATCCACAAGAAGCTGTGTAAGTCGGTCAAAAGCCTAAGGTTCACGTCAAGCGGTCGAGGTTGACATGCGGTGTCTCCTTCAGATTGGAGACTTTGAAACAACTATCTTCACGAACTTCGCTGGTCTCTGGGCGTCGGTAAGCTGTCCTACTGCGTGTTGGTGAAGAGGCTTCGGACGCGTTTAGCTCCGTTGCACATAAGCAGATACGTATGCACAAGGCCTTGTGAGGGAATCTGTTGCAATTGATGATGATCCATCCTGGCTTTCTTGCGGTGCGCTAACCTTTCTGCTATGTGAGACTTCGGTTTGTGCTCTTTGACCTCCCCTTGCGTTGGTTGTGGTGCTGTTTGACCTGGCTACATCATTGCGGGCGCGACAGTTTCTGCATCCCGACCTGGGTGCGTGTAAAATCTTACGAATCATACTTTATGTGCTTCATTATGTGGTTTGATGCGCGTTTGGGCGATTTTATGCGTTGTGGTGGTCGTGCTGATTTTTTGAAGATGTTCATGTAGTTCGTAAAATGCAGAATCAATCATTACCTGTGCCAACCCTTTTTAGGCTATAGGTGACAACGAACTATTTCGATAACACGTCGAAACTGTTGATTCGGATACTACACTAACCTCTAATTAAGACACAGTATCTGTACACAGAAATCACATACAATAGGTGTAGGGGGGTTAGATTATGTTGGGTGCGTTGTCTGGCTCACACCGCACGCATCGGAGATCTGCGAACATAACTCAGCGTCCACACCAACACATCGTAAGCGAGTCAACGAGGCGAAGACATCACAGCAGTGGAACAAAAAGGTTCAAATGTAGGATGGATAGATAACGCTCATTATGCACTTGACCAACTAATCATACACCTCGAGATAACTCATTCCACGTATGCCAGTTGTCCAGTTGTTGACCGGCTCCATCCTTCCCAAGCCACATGAATGTACAAAAGAGAACTACATATCACTTCAGATCACACGTCCCACCCCCCTACAACAGCATTTTCCTGGGGTCCTCAATGTACTCCTTGATCTTGACAAGGAAAGTGACAGCCTCCCTGCCGTCAAGCAGCCTGTGGTCGTATGTGAGGGCGAGGTACATCATGGGCCTGATCTCGACCTTGCCGTTGATGGCCACGGGCTTGTCCTTGATGGCGTGAAGACCCAAGACAGCGGTCTGGGGCAGGTTGATGATGGGTGTACCCATTAGCGAGCCGAAAACACCACCGTTGGAGATGGTGAATGTGCCACCAGCCATGTCCTCGATAGTGAGCTTGTTATCGCGGGCCTTCTTGCCGAGGTCGGCGATGGCCTTCTCGATGCCAACCATGTCAAGGCTCTCGGCGTTGCGGACAACGGGGGTGACGAGACCCTTCTCGGTGGCAACGGCGACGGAGATATCGACGTAGTCGCGGTAGACAATGGTGTCGCCGCCCTTGGGGCCCTCGATGGAGGCGTTGACAGCGGGAACGTCGCGCATGGCAAGGATACAGGCGCGCGAGAAGGCGGACATGAAGCCGAGCTTGACGCCCTTGTTCTTGAGGATCTCATCCTTGTAGAGCTTGCGGAACTCCATGATGGACGACATGTCGACCTCGTTGAAGGTTGTGAGGGACGCGGCGGTGTTCTGCGACTGCTTTAGGCGCTCAGCAATGCGGAGACGCATGCGGTTCATCTTGACCTGTTTATTTCGTTAGCATAAACCTTGCATTTGTACTCCATCTGACGTACGCGGTTCTCTCCACGGCTGCCAGACTGGACCTGCTTGGACTCCTCCTTCGGCGCAGGCTTCGACTCTTTCTTGGGCTCAGGCTGCTTGGGTGGCTGAGGCTTTGACTCTTGCTTGGGGGGCTCGGGTTTCGACTCCTCCTTCTTGGGCTGCTTCTGCTCTTGCGACTTGGACTGCTCCTGCTCGCCAGAAGGTTGCGACGCGGTCTCCTGGTCCTTGGAAGCAGGCTCCTTGGGCTCCTCCTTTGCCTGCTCTCCACCAGACGGCGCAGCGCCGCCAACCTCAAGCTTGACGACATCCTGTCCGACGGTAACGGTGTCCTCCTCGTTGACGAGGAACTCCTTGATGGTACCGGCCTGGGGCGCGTTCAGGGAAACGTCGATCTTGTCGGTCTCGATGGTGGCAATCTCCTCGTCCTGTTCAACGTAGTCACCGACCTCTGCATGCTATCAGTACCCTGGCGTGCGTGATGTACATCGGTGTTCCTCACGTTTCGACCATTGCTTCAGTGTACCCTCGGTAATGGATTCGGCCATCTCGGGAACCTTGACCGTGGTGACATCGGCTGCAGCAATGTTAGCATTTGAGCCATGTTGCGCGTCGCTGAAACGCACCATAGCTTCGTGTCTGGTCGAGAGTCCACAGGCGTTGTGTTGCGAGCTGTCCAGGTCGTCTAACATCGGCTTAGCTAAGCTTCCATGCCGTCCAATGGCACTGCATACCTTGATACCTGGCTCAAGAGGCCAGAAGAAGTCGCTCTCGAGATGGCAGAGTAGCTGCGTGCAGCGGGAGCGCGGGTGACAGAACGAGCGCCGGCGCGCAGGGCTGACGAGCGCATTGCGCTGGGCAGGCGGCGGAGACACTGTTGACTCGACATGGTGGGTGAGAGACGGCAAACCTCGGGAAATAAAAAACCAAATGGGGTGGGCAAGAGCCGCGAAAGGAGGTGAGAGAGGTGTTGTGAGGGAATTGCTGAAGCTGCAACAGGGCACCAGTTCTGACGTCTCGGATCGTCCAGTCGGAAGAATGGACCTCCAAAGCTAACCCGTAATGCCAAGCCTGCACCTCACATCGAACAGCTCGCGCAGCACCACGACGACAACGAGGCATTGCGGCCACACATTACACACACGCCTTCCTCCACGCACACGACTGGAAGGGCCGCCATCGCCATGAGCTCCAAGAAGCAAGTCCTGTACGCCGCCGCGCCTGTGCCGCCCGCTGCTCGCAGAGACTGACGCACACGCAGGAGCCTTTACAGGCAGTCGCTGAAGCTTGCGCTCGACTGGAGCGTCCACCGATACCTCTGGCGTGGCCAGGCAGTCTACCTCCGCGGTCTTTTCGAGGCGAACAGAAATGTCACAGAGCCGCGACAGCAGAGGGTGCGCAGCCCGTCCACACCGCATACCACCAATGCCAGGACTACGACAATATGACAGGACAGCGCTGATAGCTGCGAACAGGCACTAATCACTGAGACCGAGAACCTGCTCGAGAAGTGGAAGCACCCCGACCCATACCGCCCACCCACGGCCCCAGGAGGTGCGTTGCTATACTCCGGATACATATCCGCCACGGCCGCGGAAACGGCAATGCTAACAACACTGTACAGGCTCGAAGTACGAGCGCAACCTCCCTGTCCCGATCCTGGATCGTGAGTGCTCTTCTTCCATACATGACTAATGATGGATTGCTAATTGGGCGCAGCTCCACCGAAATGGATGAACCCGTAAGCGGGTGGGGATGGCTGATCAGGGGAGGAGCATTTGTAGCTTTGTAGGTGTACATATCACACATTTATGCGATTGCGCAAGGGCGCAGAGACTGTCAGAGCACTTCAATCTTCAATGTTCAGCTGCTCGAGAGACCGCCAGTGAGTGATGTCGTAGCGGGCCGTAGTGCACCAACAAGGCTGCTAATATCACATCTATGTACTCTTCAATCATCAGTGCGCAGCGAAAGTGTCCGGCCCGTGAAACATTTCCATTTCCTAAGTTTGTAAAGCGAAGGGTCGTGACCTGTCGGTTTCTTGATGTTGCAGACCGAGCGCATTGGTGAACTCGAAGTCTGCCGCCTGCAGCTGCAAGCAGCGCAACACCAAGCCGACAAACGCCAAACTTCGACCTTCCACTGAAAACGCGCAAATGGCAAACATCGCCCAGTGCCCCAAACTTGCGATGCAGGCCAAATGCGCAATTCGCATCTGAATGACGCAATGCAATGAGGCGCCAGAAACTGCGAGTTGCAGTGACGTATCTGCAAATGCATCGCCGAACCCTGAGGCTCCCGACTGGCCTTCGTGGCTCAACAGTGCATTGCGCACCGCAAACTACAATGTTCGATAAAATGGCAGGCTGGATGTCCGTAAAAGCAAGCTGCTAAACCTACAAACCAAGAGTCACGATGAGAGGTGGATGGAGAAGTGAAGTGATATAGCTCGATTCAGCTCATGAGCATCTGGCCAAAATGCGACCAGCTAATATACAGCTCTGGTATAACCCCGTGAAAAGCCGTGAACCCAAACCCAGTCAGACTCCCATTATCATTGCAGATGAAAAGACCCATGAAGAAACACCGATGAAGCAAGAACTCAAACGCACACTGCGCTTACAGCTCCTGAGAAGGACCCTTGCCAGGCTTGGCTGTCTTCTTGGGCAGCAGGTCTGCATCGCGTTAGCATTGGAAGTGGAAGGCGCTGGAAGAGGAGACGTACTCTGGTGAATGTTGGGGAGGACACCACCCTGGGCAATGGTGACGTGGCCGAGCAGCTTGTTCAACTCCTCATCATTCCTGATGGCGAGCTGGAGATGACGGGGAATGATACGGGTCTTCTTGTTGTCGCGCGCAGCGTTACCAGCCAACTCGAGGATTTCGGCAGCGAGGTACTCAAGGACGGCAGCGAGATAGACGGGAGCACCGGCACCGACACGCTGAGCGTAGTTGCCCTTGCGGAGAAGACGGTGGACACGACCGACGGGGAAGGCGAGACCGGCCTTGGAAGAACGACTGCGCAATGTCAGACAATGGTCAAGCAAGCTCAATGAAGCTCAAAGATGATGTAGCTGGAGCATGTGGGTCGAAAAAGACGCGTCAAGCAGATGCAGGACGCGTCAAAGGCCTCGAACCCAGGTGTAGAAAATGCAAAAATGCAAAGTCAAAACACCAGAGATGGTGCGCAAGGCAGAGAGGGAGAAGGCGCGACTTACGACTGGGCGTTGGACTTGGAGCCGCTGGCCTTGCCTCCGGATTTGCCGCCAGTCATTTTGAAGAGGATTTGGGTTTGGGTGGTAAAGTTGGGAGATAAGAGTGCTGGGAGCTGAAGAGGGCTAGGAGCGTGTGGTGGGCGCGAAGTGTCGAGACGATGGATTGCTTGCTGCTGGTGGGGGGCGGCGACGACTTATAAGGACGGCGCGGGCGTGTTGTGGTGCGCGAGATCAACTGGCGGACTAGCGCGCCGGGGAGCTTTGGCAGCGTCGCAGCTTGGGGCGCGCCCGCCTGTTGCGCAAGATCACACTCACCTCGCTTAGCCCACCAGTCAGGGACCGCTGCGCCCGCCCCTCCATCACCGCTCTGATTCAGCAAGCAGCTTGCGCACGGGCCCGCCGACCGCTGCTGGATCACAACACGCAGCGCGCTCGCCATAAGTAGCGCGTCCCCGCCCGACAGCGACCTTTCTCCCTCCATCTCGACTCCCACCACCCGCACTCACCGTCTCCATCGCACGCCGGCTTCAGCTTTATCAACCACTTTTCAATCCCACACATTTACCCAACACTCCAAAATGCCCCCCAAGGCCCAGAAGACTCCCACCACCGGCGGCAAGGCCCCGGCCGGCAAGGCTCCCGCTGAGAAGAAGGAGGCTGGCAAGAAGACCGCCGCTCCCTCTGGCGACAAGAAGAAGCGCACCAAGACCAGGAAGGAGACCTACTCCTCCTACATCTACAAGGGTGAGTTTGCCATTTCCGGTGCATCCAGGCGCGTTCTCTGCACGCGTCTTCCATCTTCTGCAGTCTCTGACTGCATCCTCCCATTGCAATCGCATCGTCCTGTTTCATCAGACGGAATTTTCTGACGCGTCCGCAGTCCTCAAGCAGGTCCACCCCGACACCGGTATCTCCAACCGCGCCATGTCCATCCTGAACTCGTTCGTCAACGACATCTTCGAGCGCGTCGCCACCGAGGCGTCCAAGCTCGCTGCCTACAACAAGAAGTCGACCATCTCCTCGCGTGAGATCCAGACTTCGTACGTTTCCCTCTTCCGTCCTCGGCCTTCAATGGCATTTGCTGACCCGCTTGCAGAGTACGACTGATCCTCCCCGGTGAGCTGGCCAAGCACGCCGTGTCTGAGGGCACCAAGGCCGTCACCAAGTACTCTTCTTCCAAATAGAGCGCTTGATTTGATGGTTTGCTTCTTTGGGTTTCTTTTGCTTGTCTTTCGACAAGGTGGTTACGGGGTGACGGTGTTCATGGGTCATTTTCTAATGTGATCATGGGTCGGTTTGCTTGTCCATGCGTCATCGTGTCATGATGGTTTGACACGATCCATCATCTGGGGTCTGTACATTATACCAAACGCAGACGGGAACGAATCAATTCTTTCAGTATTCACACATCATCTTCATTTTTCTTCTTCTCCCAGTATTCGCACATCGTCTTCACTTCCTCTTCTTTCATCTCCTGTCTTCGACTTTGGTTCTCGATCTTGGTTTCCACTTCAAATTTCATCGCGGTTTGCCATCGGTACTGACATGCAGTTTGAACGCGACGTTCTTCTCGAGCCGAACAGGATCCACGCGTTTGACGCGTCGCGTGGTGCAACAACAAACCGCGTCATTGCGCCGCCAAACTGCAGACGCCCAATCGCGCAAATCAGCAGCCTGGTCGAGATGCGATGCGCCAACCAGCGCGCCACACTTCCGAAGATTGGCATTTCAAGCATTGCAGGATTTTGCAATCGAGTTTCCCGGATCCTGCAATTGCGCGCGCTGAAAGGGCATGACGCAAATAAACGCTCAAACTTGGAGGGAAACGCGCGATTGCACTCTGGCTTGCAATGCTATAAAAGACGCCCGTGAGGTTGACTTGAACATTCGACATGTATGGCTTAGTGACGTATGCGACAACATCGAGTCTATGGTACATGCCGGATTCGAACCAGAATTATCTACAACCTATTGCTGGACCAGAATACAACGACACGAAAACTCACCAAGATGAGTGCACAAGACCGATCAGCAAACACGGGTGTAAAGCCACACAGCAACGTAGCCGACATGTGCGATTGAGTATCTACCTCACTCCCGAACTCCAAAAATGCATTGCCGTCGTGATATCATTGCAAGTCCTCTCCGCCCACCACAGTACTCACCGCGCACGCACCACGCACCACGCACCACGCACCACGCACTCACTACGCACCCACTCACCTCACTCTGCAGCACTTACTGCAGCCCGTCCTCGTCGCAGCTCTCAACCTCATCCACCGCGCCCTCCCTCTCCTGCCCCCTCGGCGCCGGCTCTCGGTCCTGCACATGCACCACGCACTTTCCCTGCACGCTCTGCACGCCCTCCTTCCACTTCTCGTAGTCCTCTTTAGAGGTCACGAGGAAGGCGAGCAACATGGACGGATCCATCTCCCGGATCTGCAGGCGCCGGATGCGGCGCGTGTGGCATGTTGCAATGTCGGCGGGCGTGTAGGAGGCCTCGCTGGGGGAGGGGACGATGGTGGTTTGCGAGTCTGTGATTGCGGTCTCCGAGGCTGTGGATGCTGCGAGCGGCGAGTCGGGTTTGGAATCGTTTTTGGCAGTGGGCGAGGGTGGGGAGTGGTAGGGTAGGAGGGGCCGCGTGCTGTGCGGGTCGAGGTAGAAGCAGGTGTTGCCCTGGGTGCCGACGAAGTAGTGGGATGCGGACGGGCGGCCGCTGGGTGTTCGTGTTAGCTCTGAAGCGCGTGAGAAGGATGGTGCTGCTGCCTGCTTACCCGGCGATGCCGATGCTCTGCTTCATCTGCAGAGCGGCCTTCAAGGCTTCCCAGTAGACGGGCGTGATCTTATCGATGCCCAGCCTGGTGCCCACGAGGATCAGTGTAGGCTGCCAGTTTCCGTCGTCGTCGACGGCGATCTGCTTCAGCCTGTCCTCGTACACGTCTGCGCCATCGCCGGAAACGTAGACCTTCAGGCCAGCTTCCCTGTGCCTGTTCGCCAGGTCCTGGATGCACCGCGCCGCTGCCGATGGCCCGAACCACTCGCCTGGGTACTTGCCGCACACAGCAGCACCATGGTCAACGAAACGGTGGATAGAGAAGGGCGCCCTTGCATCGTCTGCGAAGAGTGACAGAATAGAGCAGTGTGTGGGATCTGTTGTATGGTCCTGCCACCTCCAGCCCCTCCCCAGTCTCAGCATCTGCAGCGCGTTCGCCAGGATGCATTGCCCGCTCCGGATCATGCACCCAAAGCCCGTGTCTGACGTGAAGCCGGGCGAGGCGAGGTTCTGCATGCGCACGCGGAAGCTCATGGTCGCTGTTGCCTTGGGGTCCTGGCTCTTCTGTATGGCCGCGAAGCCGGAGCGGTAGGTCATCCATATCCGCGACTCGAAGTCATCGAGGAACGAGGATGGCCAGCCGCCGTACTGTGCTGGGTCTTGCCCATTTGGCGCTTCCTTTCGGTCGGTCTCGTCGACGCTGGTCGTTATCCAGCTCTCGTCCTCGCCGCGCTCGTTCTGCGGCGTCTCGGTGAAGCGGGTGGTGGAGGGCGTGTCGCTAGGCGTCGAGTTGAGCGGCGGCGGCGGCGGCGGCGGCTTGGGGTCGTAGCGCTCGCCGAGCAGCCATATGGGGTCGTTGGAGTCGTTGGTCGGGGGGGGATCGTAGAATGTGCGGACGAGGTTGCGGCCAACGCGCTCGAAGTCGTTCATGTTGGCGTGGACGTGGTTTGCGGCTATTGCAGGCCGCGGTGGTGGATGCGGAGGCGGAGGCGGAGGTCGGTCGGGAATGCGGTGGCCTTGAGGGGCGTCACATGGGCGTGCTCTCCCTCCGGTCTGCAGAACTGGTGTGCAAGAAGCCCACGGGGGTGCGCGCTGGACGGTGCAGCAAGGTGCAGTCTGCAGTCGTCAAGGGCGGAGTTGAGCTGCGTTGCGGCAAGCTTCCCCAGCTCGCGCCCTGGTCATGCTGCCTGGACGGTGGCGGGGGAGGGGCGTCCAGCTGTTCGTGTCACTGTCACAGCACGTCGCGAGCCGCCAAACGCGCTGCTCGTCCTGCTCGCTCGCCTGCGCTGGCATTCACAGACATGCACAGACATGCACAGACATGCAGCAGCTACATGTTCAGCATGCACTGCTGCTATGCGCGCCCACAGCTGCCTCCCCCTCGCGAGTGCCATGCTTTCGCCGACCAGCAGCGACCAGCCTGAGCACGAGCGCCGCCGAACCCAACGATACGCGCCGATAAGCCCTAGTCCCCGCCGCCACTGGGAAAGTCATCATCATCGTTGAGCGCGGCGGGTACCTGAGCATTCGCCGTGCACCTGAGTATTCGCCGCGCAGTCCCTTTCCCGTCACCACTTCCCTCCACCCGCACGCCACCTGTCTACGCGCCTGCACAGCACCGCCGCCATGGGGAAGAAGAAGGGCAAGAACAAGAGCAAGGGCTCTGCGAAGAGCACACCCAAGAACACCCCCAAGAACACGCCGCGCCGCACGCCCTCCACGTTCCACCCGTGGCCACAGGAGGAGGGTACGTTCCTGCGCGCTCCCTCTGCGCTCTGAACGCAGGTTGCTGACACGCTGCCCGCAGAGAAGCCCAGGTACTCCCTCGCCGACGAAGCGCGCTACGTCCTGGGCCACCGCAAGAACGCCTTCGAATCTGGCAAGAAGCTGCGCGACATGCCTGTCCACTTTGTTAGCGCCGGCCTGCTGGAAGGCACCATCAAGGAGCGCGAGAAGGTGACGGTGACGGTGACGGGGTCTGGTTCCGAGTCGGACGCTGAGTCTCTCGCGCCTTCCCCATCCTCGTCCGCTTCGCCACCGGACAACACCAGAGCCATGGCCCAGATGGCGATTCGCAGCCCCTCGCCCGCACCATCAGAGGCCTCGAGCGCATCCAGCGATGAGGTTGTCTTCCAGGGGCGTGGCAACACATCAGCGCCTCGGTCCACCGCCGCATCGAGGGTTGAGAGCCCTCTGCCACAGAAGCAAGCAGGCGCAGGCGCAGTCGCCGAGGCCGTGAACAGTGCGGTCGAGCACGCCAACGCACAGGCAGGCGCAGTCGCTGCCCACGTCGCTGAGTCTGCTTCCGTTCCGGTCGAAGACGTGCACGTCAAGCCCAAGGTCAACGTGAGCATTCGGGTCAAAGGTACTGTTGCGCGTCGACATCGGTCCGTGTTTACCTTACTGACCCCCCACAGATTCTCAGCCTGCCGCTCTCAGCGCTGCTCCCGGGCCAGAAGCCGTCGCCGCCGCCGCCGACGCCGAGTCAGATACCGACATCGTTACCGACAATGCGTTCGCGAAGCGACGAGGAGACAAGCCTGCGTGGGAAGGCGCCACAACACCTTGGGAGCACAAGTCCAAGCCGGGCATAGGGTGGTTGCCCGTCGAGGATCGTCCGGACATGGACGCTTTCCTTGCCGGTGACGTTGATCCTCGCGATGCCGCCATGGATGATTACATGCAGAACATGGAAGATTTCGGCCTGACTGGCGACCTCATGGCCGCATCGGGTTTTGCACGGCGCGAAATGGATCTCGACGCTGGGAGCCACAACGACTGGGAGTCGGCATCGGGCAGTCAGGCAGGCGACGAGCAAGATCCGACCGACAGCTGGGACTCTGACATGCTCCAAGACCTTGAGGGTATGAGCACATCATCTGATGTCATGGATACCGTTGTTAAGATTCTCTCGAAGCGGAATCGCAAGAGCGGAGTCCAGTACCTGTGCGTGTATGAAGGCTCCGTGGTTGACGACGCTCGCTGGCTGCCGGGCGGTTACCTCCAGAGTTCTGCTGAGAAAGACTTGATCCAGGCCTTTGAGGAGGCCTTTCTGCTTCGCAAGAAGGCAGAGTTGGGCGACAGCAGCACGAGCGACTCTGGGGGTAAAGAAGAGGAGGACGAAGACGACGATAGCGACTCCGAGGACGACGAGGATGACGATGACTTCGGTGAAGACGAAGAGCTCGATGATGAGACCATCGCTCGAGTTCTGCAAAAACAAGAGGAGCTCGGCTTGGGCGCAGACGAGCTTATGCTTTACGCAGCTGACGACTACTTCGGCGCATCCTCCCGCGCGGACGACTACATTCCCCTCAACGTCGGTCGATCGAATCGGAAGCAGCCAAAGCGTGGCGGGCGAAGGAATCGCGAGCCTACCTTCCCTTCCGCCTCCGCCATGGCAGACGCGCTCGATATGGATCCCTACAACGGCTTCGATATCATGGACACTGAGCGCCCGTCGCTGAAGCCTAAGAAGAAGGGCCGACGTGGCCAGATGCCCTTTGAGCTGCTTGATGACTCCGATCTCAACGAACAACTACAGAATGCGTGGGAGAACGATCGTCAAAAGAAGCGCACGAAGAAGGCCGAACGAGAAGAGCTACGGCAGCAGGGCCTTCTCGGCAGGAAGGGCAAGGCACCCAACCTGAAGGTCAAATACAAGGATGGTTTGATGATGGAGGACGTCCTCGAGGAGATGCGCGAGTTTTTGGTTGGCGACATGCAAACCCTCGCTTTACCTCCGATGGACGCCTCCCGACGTGCGACCATTCATCAGGCTGCAGATCATTTCAAGCTCACATCGCGCTCTCGTGGAGATGGCCTCGATAGATTCATCGTTCTCACCAAGACCACGAGGACACGGACCTATACCGACAACGAGTTCGACAAGGCGATCCTCCACAAAGGTCTACTCTACCGTCTCTCCGGACCAACCTTCTCGCAGAAGGGCGATCGTCCACGCAAGTCCGCCACCGTTCGTTTCGGAGGAGCGCGAGGCAAACCCTCGACCGGCTACCGCGACGGCGAGACAGTCGGTGCCAACGCGCCTGAGATTGGCCCTGAGAACAGAGGACATGCCTTGTTGGCCAAGATGGGTTGGTCGAAGGGTATGGGACTTGGTGCTCTGGATAACAAGGGCATCTTGCAGCCAATCGCGCATACAGTGAAAATGACCAAGGCGGGCTTGCAATAAGCCATCTGCTTCCTTGTATTGCCGTTCTTCATTCCGCGGTTCTTCGCCTCGATTACTATGGGTCTGCGCAGCTTCAACGTTAGCTGGCTTGCCATCTGGGAGGTGTTGTTTGTACGAGTATCTGGAGTCGTAAGGCGCAGGCATGGGACATTGGCCACGATCTATGATGGTCACCGACGTGTCAGGCACATCACGGCGTTTGATAGACATTCTTCCGTTGGGCGTATGCAGTGCGCTCATGGCGCCACGGCAGCATCTATTCGTACGAAGCGTGCGCATCATGCGCGGGGCACGATGCAGCCCATCGAAAAAAAAAAAACAATATAAATACAATGATACCCTTCGTAATGCTACTCTGCCGTTGGTGCTTTCGTGTTGTCGTGAATACCCCCAGGGCTGGGGCGGTTGGACATGACCAGTCGCCCAACGAACCCAGCCCGAGCTCATCAACTCCGTCAATATCGTTCGGGCTGTGGTCAAGCCCTCGTGGTAGGTTCCAGGTGATGCTTTCAACACTTCGGCTTGATTTCACGTCGATCCGAGTCGTTGTTGACCTGTTGTGATTTTTTGAAGTAGTTGCCGTTGCTCCTTTTGACTCGAAACTATCACTTGCTCGACACTTTCTCTGGCATGGTGTCTACACAACAACCAGATAACCATACCCTTGACCCTTTGGTATTACCTTCCCGAACGCCAAAAACAGATTCCATTGAACCTACAACCAACATCCGACAATATAGTGCTGCTGTGCGTATCAGCGGGGTCGAACTGCTTGTGATTGATGATGCCAAGCAGAAGCCTATCGCGACGCGTCCCAGCAACCGGGATGCGGAGCACGACATGTTCGCATCAAATAACGTGCCAACACTGATATATATCCATAGGAGGCGCATTCGCAGCTGAATTTCCAGACGGATTCCTTCTGTCGTCGTTCTGTCGACGAGACCTCAATCGTCTCTCAATCACCTGGCTCCCAGCGCTGACTGCTACGCGCCGACCTAACTCATCATCACGAAGCCACCACCGCGAGCACTGCAATAACATACGGACCTCGGGCTGTGTGGCATGGGGTACATCGATCTTACTGCACCCTTTAAGGAGGACGTCTCGCCATGTAAGGAGTGAGACGCGCATGTCACATTCGCACGCAAAGACGGTATGCCTCACATCACAGCAGCTGCATAGGACGACGACGATGACAACGACATTGGACGCGTCTTCCCACCAGATTACATGATCAACTTGCCAACATGCGCGCCTGAGCGTTCGACTTTGACATGAGGCTATCCTGGACGCAGAAAGAGCAGGGATCCCACCCGACTGGCTCCACGCATACCCACAGAGCGACCGATGTCAGTGGATCTGTTTTGACACACGTCAAACAATACGTACCATACAAGCGCCCATCACTGCCTTTGCTCTCGCTCATCTATCTGCATCCGAAACCGGGGTCTGCTAATTGAGATCCACATCAGGATGGTCTATCTACGAACGCATCTACGAAGCCCTCCAGGGTGCACGTACGGCGAGAGCAAAGATGTCCACGCGGTCACTCAGATTGAGGAGATAGAGGGGATGGGATGGAGTGAGTTCGAAGAGGCGCACGAATCATGCTCTTCGGACTTTAACCCAGTTGCCCTGCGTTTCGAGACCATTCAGCCTCAGCCTTCTCCATCATAGTCCTTGACCGAACTCATCCTTCGTATCGTATAGCAGTTCAAACTCGAGCCTGGCGCCATGGCAAACCAACCGTATACCCCCAAGCCGATCACCGACATCTTCACAGCGGATACAGACATCGACCGCAGGCAATGCAAGCGAGTTGTTCCTATGCGTGTCCTAGCTCTAGGCCTGGGGCGGACCGGCACAGCCTGTGAGCTAACATATGAGCATTGAACATGTCTTTCGTCTCTAACACAACATAGCTCTCCGTTCCGCTCTCCAAGAGCTCGGTTTCACAGACACTTATCACATGATGTCTGCGAGTGTAGAGAACCCACCAGACTGCTTGATGTGGCAAGACGCATTCGCAGCGAAGTTCGACAACGAAGGCGAATTCGGCCGTGAACAGTGGGATCAGCTACTTGGCCACTGCCAGGCTGTATGTGACTGGCCTGCCGTTGCATTCGCGAAAGAACTTATCGAAGCGTATCCCGAGGCGAAGGTCCTCATCACAACACGAGATGTCGATTCGTGGCATGCGTAAGGCCTTCCTTCCCTGAGTCCACCCATACAGATACTGATCAGTGAACAGATCAACACTCAAGACCGTAGACTGGCGAGCCAACGATCTCGAACTCAAGTTCGTCGCACAATGGGATTGGGGCGCCGGCCTCTACCAGCCCATGCTGCACAAGTTCTGGTCCACATTCTTCAAAGGCGACTTCAACAAGTACGGCAAGCAAGTCTTCAACGACTACTACGCTGAGCTGCGCGCTCTTGTGCCACCAGAGAACCTGCTCGAGTACAAGATGGGCCAGGGATGGGAGCCGCTGTGCAATTTCCTCGAGGTGCCTGTTCCAAAGGGCAAGCAGTTTCCGCATGTCAACGATACAGATGGCTTCGTCGACCGGTGCAAGGCGAGGAACAGGGCGCAGATGTGCAATGTGCTTTTCCGCGGATTCGTTATGGGCGGTGGATTGATTGCGGCGGTGCTGAGTACCAGTGCGACTATGCACAAGCTTGGCCTTGGGGGCAAGCTTCCATCCTTGACAGGTTTCCTGCGCGCTTGATTTCTTGCTGTCGACTGGAGTTATTGGAGTTGAGGGTGTTGTCATTTCTGGACGGATCTGGAGCTTTCGAACCCGGCGTTCATTGCTTTTGCACATACATCCTCTGTAGTTGAGAAACAGAACCTTTTCTCCCTTGACTTTGATCTTGTCTGTCGTCTTCGCCCAGTTCACGTCCCCACTGACTCATGACTTCTCAAATATTTCCTGACGGCATTCCCACCTTCTCGTCGATACGCGAACACGTCACTGTCGACTCGATAAGTCTTGATTGCTGGCGCGTTGCAGCGGCAGTTGAAGCCCCACTTTTCCGAGCGCGCTTTTCTAGCCATCGACTTGCGCGAAAGGAACGCGTGCACCAACAACGCAACAACAGCTCACAAGCCAATCAATTCCTGAGCACTGCCTGTGTCGGAAGCCTGGCGAGCATCCGAACGACCAGCCGACGACGCCGCGACGACAGAACGGGTTCAATTTTGCCCGTGTCCATCAGCATCAAGTGAAGCATGGGCCTTTCTGAAACGCGACGTTCCGCGCAGATCAGCATTGTCACAAGAGTCATGAAACGTCTCCACGGTACACGCAAGCTTCCTCGTTGACACTGACGGTCAAGCTTTGACATGCCACCACGCACAATGCTCAGAAGGGAGACGCGTTCTAGAGGATATGGCTGCGGCGCTGCAAGCAGGCATCATGGATCAAGTACAGCCAGGAGAGCATCTGAAGTGAATACTGTTTTCAAGATCTTCTTCTGCCCTTCCCGTTAGAGTCTTGCCCTTTCTGTTGCCGTCTGAGTAGCGATGCTGTCGTTTCAACATTTGTCGAGCTTTTGTGCCGCTCTCTTCGTCCTTCTAGACCCAGTGGAAGCTGGTCTGGACAATAATACTTCCCCAACATCGATATTCCGATCGGTAAGTTCACACGAATACGAGACGTTGTAGTATTCGTCTGACGTCATCACTAGCGACCGGATCTACACGCTCCTATTATCAACTTCGATATCCTCAGACCGGAACTTGTTGCCCCAGGCTACATCTTCCTTGCCCCATACCGGAACACAGACCCCGGACCGTATATTTACGACAACAATGGGCAGCTCGTCTGGTCGAGTGCAGGTACAATGGGTGGTTCAACTGCCCATAACCCTCATGTCTGCGAGTATCAGGGCGCAGACCATATCTGCTTCTTCCAGGGGCACCAGCATCACGGGTGGGCACGTGGACATGGCATTATCATGAACAAGAACTACCGCGTCGTGCAGACTGTGGAGGCTGTCGGCGCTGCAACTCAGATGGACATGCATGAGTTCCGTTTGATCGATGGTGGTAAGCGAGCGCTGGTCACGATTTACCAGCCTCGACAGTACGACCTGGGTGCATTTGGTCTTGGTCCCGGCCTCGGCTGGATCCATGACAGCCTGTTCCAAGAAATCGATGTTGAGACTGGAGAGCTGCTTTTCGAGTGGCGCGCCTTGGACCACATTGCTCCCAGCTTCTCATACACATGCATCGACTGCACCGACACAAGCGGAAACGGAATGACAAGAGACACACCATGGGACTTTTTCCACATCAACTCGATCGATAAGAACGCGGACGGCGACTACTTGATCTCTGCTCGCCATGTGGGTGCGGTCTACAAGATCTCGGGCGTGACTGGCCATGTTATCTGGCAGCTCAACGGCGCGAATCCGACTTTCAAGAACGTGAACCTGCACTTCTCAAGCCAGCACCATGCGCTGTTCTTCAAAGAGAATGCGACGCATACGTTGATCAGCTTGTTCGACAATGCAAGCAACACTTTCAACATCACGAATCCAGAGTCGCGCGGCATGCTCATCGGTATCAACCACGTGGAACGCATTGCAAGCAAGCTTCACGAGTGGCGAGCACCAGAAGAGAAGGGCATTCTGTCCGGATCGCAGGGCAATATGCAAATCCTGCCTGAAAAGAATGTCTTGATTGGTTGGGGTGATCACGCTTACTTCTCCGAACATCTGCCCAGCGGTGAAGCCGTGATGTATGGAAAGGTAGCTCAACGGGCAAGCGACGTGATGATGTATCGCTGCAATAAGTACGTCTGGAAAGGCGAGCCTTTGACTACACCAAGCCTGTGGACCTATTCACGAACTGGATCTGGAGCCTCGAACATGGTCTTCTATGTAAGCTGGAATGGTGCGACGGAAGTGCGTCACTGGAACTTTTACACATCGGACTCGGCGACCGGACCTTGGGAACTTATCGGCAAAACGAACAAGACCGGCTTTGAGACAGAGTACACGCTCTCGGCTTCGATGAGCTGGGCGTATGCTGAGGCGCTGGATGTTGACCGCAAGCCGCTGAAGCACGGGCGATCGAGCATCGTGAAGACCTTTGTACCTTCTGACCTGATCGTGTTCGGCTGCGATGATCGTGGATGCGATGATGTCTTGCCTCTCCGAGAAGGCGAGATCTTCAATAAGACGATGCCAGAGGTCGGCGATCGTGGCGACAACTACACAAAGGATCGAGGCGTCAACACGGTCAACTACTACCCGGCTCCAAAGTACGCTGTCCGTGGGTGGTCGCTGTCGACTTTGACGATTCCAGCAGCCTTGATACTGCTCATTGCTGGCGGCCTCTCTTTCATGCTGGGCAAGAGGAGGATCGCTAGACTCGGTGCTGTAGGACAAGACTATTTCTTGTCATTCGTACCGGGCTTCTTGGGTGGTAGAGTTGGGGGAGGCAGACGGTCGGATACCGAGTATCATAAGTTGGAGACGACCGACAGCACCTGAATCCATCGACAGGCGCAAAACATCGCAAACCCATTTTAGTTTTCTCTCGCTGCATCTTGCAACTACAAAACAAACACTTGATACTCACTCTGTGTACACCGCCAATACATATCGCCTGTCGTGCCAAATCAAACAGCTGTGTTCCTACGACTTCACGTGTGGCCAGATGTGCACACCGCGCCGTGACCCCGGATTTGACAACAATCAAAATGAAGACGCGCGACGGGCCGAACACGACGCGTACAACACTTGACGATTTTCAATACACACCCTTGTCGATCAAACGCGGTCAATGGGTTTCAGGATGTCTCCACTTGCCTGAACATCAGAAGGCCGCCCCCACCCAGATGACGCAGCCTCACCTGTCAACCAGCCGCGTCTTTGCAACATCAACAGGCTGGGGTATCGCTGGAGTGGAGCGATGTGGATGAAGGCTTGTCTGTACACGTTTTTCTTGTATCTTCCTTTCACATCGCTTCATTTCAGCAATCGAGCTTCGATAACTGCCGTCTTTTCCGAGCATATACCATTCACTACTTCCAGTCTTCTCCAATCTGTTTCCATATGTCTTCTGAACGTTTCGACAAGTTTGTCTCGTACATTCCATACGCGGTCGCATTCATACTTGTGGCTCTTTACTTCATATTCGTTCTACCGCATCTTCAGGACTACATCGTGGCAGCCTCGGGCTACATTGCTGCTGCGCAGAAGGCAGCTCATGCTCAGGAGTTCCCTAGAGGTTGCTCGCCCATAACGAGATACAATCGGCCTGTATTCGAGATATATGGTCTGTACTGAAGGGTGAGAGTAACCACTGCGGAAGGAGCATCCCATCCGAAACAATCACCATAGAAGGAAGGAGTGTACAAAATGATCCTAAGCAACTTCCACACACGACAACAAAGCACCTCTGCAGATGTCGACTCAGCTGCACGCAGGTCGCTGCACCAACGCCGAGAGTCAACACAATTCCCTTTACCATCCCCACGCCAACCCACAACGCCCACCATCCTGATCACAGAACCGAATGGCCCCCCATACGATGTGGAGAGTCCAAGTGAGAAAGCACTCAGGGAGGTCGAGCCAACATGGCTCAACATGCCCAATAAAAGAGCGCTGGCTATTCTAGCTCTATCACGACTGGTCGACTTCTGGCAAATGGCTTCCCTCCAATCCTACATGGTCGAGCAACTCCGCTCCTTCGATATCGGCATCCCAACCGCATCCCTTTCCTACCAAGCTGGCGTGCTGCAGGGTTCCTTCACGTTCGCGCAAATCGTTACTTCCATCCTCTGGGGTCGCGCTGCAGACTCTCCGTATGTTGGACGGAGGACGGTGCTGCTCATCGGGCTTCTGGGGACGAGCGTGAGCTGCATTGGTGTGGCTTTTAGTCGCAGTTTTGTCGAGATGGTGACGTGGAGGGTGCTTGGAGGTGCTGTGAATGGGACTGTTGGCGCAGCGAGGACGATGGTAGCGGAAAGTGTGGATAAGAGATGGCACTCGAGGGCGTTCCTGCTGTTACCGGTTGCGTTTAATGTCGCCAATATTCTGGGTCCGGTTGTTGGTGGCGCCCTGGTCCATCCTGTGTCGACTTACCCGGGCATGTTCAGCGGCACGCATGCGTCAAGTCTCTTCGAAGCGTTTCCGTATGCGCTGCCCAGTTTGCTGTGTACTGCACTTCTCCTTACAGAAGCTGGATTAGTCGTTGCATTCCTGGAAGAAACGCTTGCCACAAAGAGACACGATCGCTCCTTCATGGATCAGATGGCGGACATGTACCGCGGCATCATCACCGTCTTGCGCAGCCGCGACGCACAAAAGCCACACAACGTCTCCAAGAAACGTGGTTCAAACGGGTACCAATCAGTACAATTACCATTCGCAAAGATCTGGACACCAAACGTACTCTGGACACTTCTCAGCGTCGCAATCTTCGACCTGCACATGGGCGCTTTCTCCGGGCTCTGGATCATCTTCCTCTCCACGCCACGCACCGCAACAGACCAAAAGACAAGCACTGATGCCATACACGTCACAGGCGGCCTGTCTTTCTCACCGTCGCTTCTCGGCTCGTCGCTAGCCATCCTCGGCATCGTAGGCCTCGTGCTGCAGATCCTGCTCTATCCCTGGGCAAACTCGCGGTTCGGACTGATGCGGTGTTTCCGCTATTCACTGCTCATGTTTCCGATGGCGTACTTCCTCGCGCCCTACCTCGCTTTACTCCCGTCGGCGACCGCGCCGCCTCAGCCAGCATCTGGGGCACTGATTTGGGTTGGAATCTCGACGGTCCTTACGTTGCAGGTCTCTGCGCGCACGTTCGCGTTGCCTGCCTCCATCATTTTGGTCAACAATGCGAGCCCCCATCCTAGCGTTCTGGGTACTATCCACGGCGTTGGACAGAGTGTGAGCTCTGCGATGCGAACACTGGGTCCGGTGGCGGGAGGATATTGGTTCGGACTTGGATTGGAGAAGGGGATGGTTGGGTTAGGGTGGTGGGCAATCGCGAGTATCAGTGCGCTTGGATGTGTTGCGAGTCTCTGGGTGAAGAATGGGTCGGGGCATGAAGTAGTACTCCAAGAAGAAGAAGAGGAAGGTGACGATCGAAGTAAGGGCTAGGCCGTGGGCTTGGTATATTGCAAAGCCAAACGGCCACACAGCCTGAACGAATAATGAAATTCCCATCTCTCAGTCTCTCAATCCACCCCGCCGCTCAAAGGTCAACACCCTGCTTCCTCGTCCACTCCCCCGTCAACCCCTTATAATCCTCCGGCCCATACGGCTCCGTCCACTCCGCAATCCTCCCACTCTTCCTGTGATTCTCCAACCCGACATCTTTCAGCAGCATATCCAAATACGGCACAGCATCGAACACAAAGTCCGGCAGCCTCGCACCATATCCGCAAGGGTACCTCCACCGCCCGAATCTCGAGTGCAGCGTCGTGATCCAGTGCGCCTGCTCTGCAGTCGGCAGGCGCTTCAACTGGCCATCAAAGTACGCCGAGATCCAGAGTGCCTGTGCTTGTGCGCAGATAGAGGTACTGATTGTCGAGATCATGCCTGCGAAGGCGATGTTTCGCTTCGCGAGTGTTGCTGGTGGAGCGATGAAGCGGTAGAGTTGGAACGGCTGATTCGGCGTGTCGTTGTCTGTCTCGTTGCGAATGGATTTGGGAACGTTTGGCTGGTCCTGCAGACGGGGGAACTTGTCGAGGATGAGCGAGTCCGCTTCTGTGACAAGTGGATCAGGCTTTGCGGAGTAGTACGGTACACCGAGTTCAGACAGGCGGCCAGATGGGAGGAAGTTGATGGGTGGACGTGACTTCCAGCCTGTTGCGCAGAAGAGGACGTCGGCTTGGATGGAGTCGCCGGTTGATAGATGGACGGTTTTATCGGAGAGGTGAGTGACATCTGCGACGTGGACGCGGACTTGGCCATTGCGGATGTATTCGAAGAAGTCTGTTGGGAAGTTGCGGATGCTGAGGCCACTTCCAATCCAGAACGTCGAGTGCCATGGGATCAGTTTCTTGGTTTCTGGGTGCTTGTTGAACTCCATGAGGTCGATTGCATCGCTTCCAAGGATACCCCAGAATGTGTCGACAATCTTACGTCCGAGCCAGGTGCCGTGCAAGAAGCGTCGGATGCCTCCGTAGCCGTCTTCGTCGCCCCAGATGCAAGGGCTCAGCCACGTCAAGAAGCGCGTGTGAACAAGCTTCTCCAACCACTTCTTGAGCGGCGTCACGTAAGGCGGCGCCATCCACACTGGCCCGCGTCCACTCTTGCGGACGATCATGTCGACTGAGACTCCAGCGCTGGCGTACGCATACGCAGCATCCCACATACTCTTTCCACCTCCGAGAACAGCGACATTGCGAGCCGTAGTAAGGGTATCGGCTCGCTCACGGAAGTCCTTGGAGTGAAAGATCGGCGCGTTGAAGGCTTCCTCTCCTACAAAGGTTGGGAGATGGGGCTCAGATGTCAGTCCAGTGGCGACAATCAGCTTCTTTGTATGCAGAGGTGCTACTTCACCGGTCAAAGTGTTACGTGTGTTGAGAGTCCAGTTCCCGGTCTTGAAGTTCTCTTCAGCAGAGTCCACCCGAGTGTTCAATCGAGTGCGTGAATAGACACCAAACTCCTTTGCGTAGGAGGTCAAGTACTTGTGAAGGACTGTGCCCGGAATGTGCTCGCCTGGCTTAACACCGAAGGTTGCAGTGTCCATGGGAAAGTCGCTGTACTCATAGGTGCCAAGCATATTATTGGACTTGAGGCCAGGGTACAGGCGCTCGTGGCTCCAGACACCGCCGATGCTGGGGCCGCCTTCGAGCACAACGATCTCTTCATTCGGATGAAGCTCGATGTATGCTTTTGCTGCTGCGAGGCCGTACCAACCTGAGAGGTGATGTCAGTATCGCGCATGAGCAGGCCTCGGGAGGAGCTGCGATGTTGTCTTGTACGATCTTAAACACCAGGCACATAGACAAAGGAAGTTACAGCTCGTGTTTGGCAGGGAACATGATAACCACTTTTCCAAGCGCCATGCGGTGTGGTTACAGCTGATTTCGAACAAGATCTTGAATTGACAATGCAAAGATGGGTGGGTCCGCCTGCAGAACCTGAAAAGAACAGAAGAGGCATCACTCTGAAGAAAAGGAAACCAGATGCGCAACCTACCTGCTCCTACAACGACCAAGTCGGCTTCTTCCATGATGGTTGACTTGATCTGTTGACCTAGAGTGTGAAGAAAAGGCAAAGAGAAACGACAAGGAAAGCAGCGACTTGTGTATCCCAACAGAGCGCGACCTGCGGAAAACTGTCTGCAGACCTTGGGGCCCCTACATAAGCTATCGCGGCCACACATTAAAGCCCCGACAGGATTGATTCATCTAGCTTTCCCCTTTCGACCCACGTGAAATGGCAATTGTGGATTCGCAGTGACAGTACAGCCAGTCACAATATCGGGTGTCACTCCCAAACGGTGACGGACATTATTGCCGTTAGCAAGTCAGTCCTGAGTAGGCATGGTGAATGGTCGCGTTGTGGGGCGCGCAACGCTTGTTCGGCCTACCCGTGTCAACGGCTTCCGAACCGTGTAACTTCCGCCCACGTGCGGTGTCAAATTGATGCAAATGCGAACGAGAACGTTCAGTTGGGAAATGATCTGTCGCAGTTGTCGTCACCCTCGGCGGTTTTGGATGTCCCTTCTTGCACCATCAACAAAGGGGCCTGAGATGTCGTGATGCCTGAAATTGTAAGAACATTCGTATATGTCGAGATATCACCACCGAGGCCGCGCGGAGCAGGACAGGAGAACCATAAACCTGGGACAGTACGAGCGGCTTCACGAACATACCGCGACGCTAGCACCGGTGGTGACCACATGGGGCGAAACCAAAACTGCGGTGGGCTCTGAGTTCACGAGGTCAGATCAGTAGGTGGCTTGTCTCTCGTCGTTCGCCGACTCTTCCTCGCTTTGATGACCCTGGTCTGCCGCGCTCTCGGGACTACTCCTCGGCTTGCCTGTATTTGGGCTGGAAAACGTTTGTCTCCATCTTCCGTGGACGTGCTCATACCAGCTTGACAGCTCGGCTTCCGTTTCTGCACAACGTGTGAATGAAGCGAGACATGGATGGTACCCTTCCTTTTCCATATCCGTATGGTGCCACTGCAAAACCCTGCTCTTGCAAACGGCTCCATTGTTCGCCGCGTTTCTGCTTTTCTGCTAGGCACCGGTGAGTCGCCCATTAAGGCTGAGGCCATCGGTGCCATGTCGCAGACTTGATCCTGAACTTTCCCCTCGATTGTGGTGGAGCGAGACCCGGAAGGAAGATGGGAGACTCTTTCACGACTGAGGCGTTCACCCTCCTTGGCGTAGGCATAGCTGTTATCGCATTGAGGATTGTCGCGCGCGTGATTGCGGTAGGCATCAAGGGCTTCCAGTTCGATGACTACCTCATGTGTGTTGCTGCTGTTCGTATCATCGTATCCCTTTCCTGATCCTTGCTCACCCTGTTGTAGGTTATATACTCTCTCGAAACAGCAACAGCATACATCGTCGGCGCCTGGTGGCTCGGACTTGCGAACAATGGCATGACAGACGAGGAGCGTAGGACGCTCGATCCCGAGTCGCACGAGTACTCGCTACGAGTCGGCGGATCGAAGACGCAGTTGGTCGGCTGGAGTCTATACACGCTCCTGTTGTGGACCTTGAAGTTGTGCATGTGTCACTTCTACTTGAGGCTGACGTGAGTACCTCCACACCCGACATGCATGGTCGATCCGACGTTGTACTGACAGTATATAGATCCGGACTCTACCACCTCGAGCTGCGTGTTAAGATTGGCTATGCACTGATTGGTGCGACATACATTGCCACAGAGCTGTCTGTCCTGTTGGGCTGTCAGCCATTCAAGAATAACTGGAAAATATATCCTGACCCAGGCAGTGAGTGTGCTTCAGACAATGAAAGCGTGCAAGTACTGACCAACCACGTAGACTACTGTCAGCCAGCTATCTCCAAGATCGACCTATACGTCACCGTCGTCCTGAACGTCCTGACAGACATGTACCTCATATCAATCCCGATGCCCATGCTGTGGAAGGCCAACCTGGAAATCAAAAGAAAACTATCACTCATCCTAGTCTTCGGAGGCGGTGTCTTCGTCATGATGGCCGGAATACTGCGCTGCGCGCTCATCATCAAGGACCCGATCAACGGCGCACAAGCTGCAGGAAGCTGGGCATGTCGCGAAACCTTCGTTGCAGTAGTCATCGGGAACGTGCCGATGATCTACCCGCTCACGCGTCGCGGGGTCGAGAAGGTGTATTCAATGGCCGGCGCATCGAAGTATGGACCTACTTCCCGCAGCAACGGGTATCGGCATGATGGCGACTCGCTGCCTCTCAAGTCCAGTCTGAGCAAGCCTGCGCGTCGCGGCAAAAACCGCAGTATTCATGCGCTGCCGACTACATGGAATGATGACCTGGAAATAGACGGCTGGGATAGCGAAAGGTCCGGATCGATCAGCCACACCAAATCGCACTCACGAGACACGAGTGTGACTGAGACACGCGAAGCTTTGGGAGGTATAAAGGTGACGCGAGAAACGATTCTGCACAGCGAGATGAGGAAGTCGTGATCACGAAGGGATGATAGGCCGAAAGGATTACACTGGAACGAATGATGGATTGCGGCACAACCACGTGGCAAGGGACACTTGGGAACTTGGCACGTCAGCGGATCCAGACTTTGAATAAATACTTGGTATCATTTATCTAGCAACGGTTTGTTCCTATGCAATGCTGGACGCCATGACAGTATTTTGGTGTCATACGCGCCAAATCCGTGGACCTTGATCCGTGATGCACCCGGATTTGAGATACCACCAACGCCGATGCTATGCATGTGTAAAAAAACCAAATTCCTTCCTGGAAATGCTAATGGAGACGTCCATTAATGGGACTGTCCTGACGTTGAGCTACACCAATATCCTAGAGCGGCGAACCGGCGGTCTGGGGAGTGGCAGGTATAGGAGTTGCAGCAGACGCATCCTTAAAGGTATCGCTCTGCTTCTTCTGGCCATTGAGCAGCGGGCAAAGTCTGTGAACAGTCGTTAGTAAATGCATTATCGAAACGGTGGACCAGGACTTGGCTTACTTCTTGTTCGTCTTGATGTGGCCGACTTCACCACAGTTGGCACACTTCCTCGGTGTTGCGCCGCCCTTGCCGGGACCTCCTCCATCTGCTGACTGACCCTTGGCCTTCTCGCGGCCCTGGCGACGCTCCATGTTGCGCTCCAGACGCTTCAGCTCAGCCATGAGCTTCAATGTCTGTTGACGATCGTACTCTGGATCGCCAGTGGGCTTGATGTCGTCAAGGCGCATGTTCATCAGGCGATCCTGCTTCTTGCGCTTGATGTACATCTTGATGACCTCAGGATCAGTGACTGTTACCACCTGCTCTTCGAACTCGTCGTATTTGTTTCTGACGGTACGTGTAATGCGTAACTTCTTGCCATGGGTCTCCGCATTGCTATTGCGACTGAGCTGACTCATGGTATCGTCGTCGCCACGCATGAGGGCTGGTGTACCCATTTCAGAACGTCCACGTGTTGCGTTGCGTGCGGCGGCGGAGTCCACATCCTCCTCCATATCCTCGGGCGGGTTTGTAGCCGAGAGGTTTTCCTTCTGTTTGTTCCAGATGCGCTTGATCGCGTTTTCGTACATTGCTTGCTGTTGCTGGACGTTGTAGCTGTGGCCACTGAGTTCCTTCTGCTTCTTCGCATTGACTTGATCTGCTGCACTCTGCCCGACGTCTCGGAAACCGCCTTTCATAGAGACCTTGATGAAACTGAAGCCTAGGCCTTGTGCAGTAGGGTCGCCCTCACCATGCAATTCCAGCATGGCCTTGCCAGCACACGCGTTCAGGAAGTTCTTTGTGGTGTTCCAGGGTGCCAGTTTGACTGCCGAATTCTCGCCTTCCGCCTCTTCTTCATCGTCCCGGATGTCGTTCGACTTGATACCAGAATCTTGAAGCTGTTTATCACCAGCATGCATAGAGTCAATGAGACAGACATCCTCAGGTTTGATCCAAGTGCGCAATGTGGGCTCGTCCGGAATTGTCTCGCCCTCCTGTGGTTTCCAGGTGCCAAGGTCTTTGTCGTACTTCATGATTTCTCGCATACGGGATCGATTTTGTGCAATCTCAGTGCCCGGAAGATGCAGCTTGATCATCTCGTTGCTGACCCAGGGTTGCTTGATGTTGTACTGCTCGCCTCTCCTATACATACGGAAAGAAAGCATTTTGAGACGCTTCTTCGAAGCCTCGGTGACCTTGCGTGCGTGCGTACCTGGCACTTCGACTGAAGGGAACTGTTGGCCGACAACGAGGAGGTTGGGGATGTTTCGCATGTAGTACTTCTTGCCATTAACACCAGTAGTACTTCTGCTGACAAGGAAATCGGTCGACTCTGGTGTGTGCTTGAAGACTGGTGCTCGATACATGGCATTGTGCAGAGTAAGTACTTCCTGGCCAGGCTCAACTTGACCGAACAGCGAAAACGGGCTCTTGTCCTGAGGCAAGAGTACTGAGGTCTCTCCAATACCATCTTCGCGCTTCGGTCGTGCAGTATCTTCCATATCTTTGCGACGGTAGTAGTTGAGGATCTTGATGCCCATTCCAAAGTTGGACAGCGTTGTTGGATATTCTTCGGAGTACTCAGCAAGCAGAAGATCTGAGTTGTCGCCGACGTTAAGATCCTCAGCTGTGGCGAATGCTTCTGACGGTTTGAGGTTCTTCTTGTGCTTCCGCTTGACGGATTTAAGCGCTGAGATGCTAGCTCGCTCACCAGGCTTGAAGTCGATCGTGGGGCGATGGAAAGATCGCAGCTCGCGGTCATTGAGGTTGACCTTGTAGAAGGGATATTGTAGCTTCAACGCGGGCAAGCTGTGCTCGACATTCATGTGACCAATCGTGCTGCGGACCTTCTGCTGGCTGCTCTCCTTGAGCGCATCGTACGCCTCGTCGTTGGAGATATTGTAACGTTTGAACATGGGGTTTGCAAGACTGCCACGATTGTCGCGCTTGAGGCCAAGCCCAGTTGTTCGAGGTTTAGGTGGCTCCGCGCTTGGTTGCTGTATATCCAGCAGGAGATGTGGGTCGTTCATGTCCAGAATGATCTTCTTTGCAATCTTTGCAGTCTCCGCCTCTGGGTCATCCCAAGATGGGAGATCCATGTGGTCGTACACCGAGAATGTGACAGGGTTTTCTCGACTGCCTAATTTGCGCTTCTTGGACGGTACAAGGCTGCGTATCCAGTCGGCATCATCGTCGCCTAGTATCGTACCTGGAGGCGACAGAAGCTGATCAACGTCCGAAGTGCTTTCGTCGTCCAAAACATCCCAGTCTTCGCAAGCAATCTTCAGATCACCCCAGGAGACGTTGCCGATCTTCTCACGATCATCAAGCGGATCGAGGTTGTCTAGCTCTGTCTGTTCGTCACTATCCTGCTCCTCTACGGCGACTCTTGTGATATAAATGAGGCTGCTCTGCTCTTCCTCCAGCTGGCGTTTTGATCCGGTCGTAGGTGTGGCCGCAGGCAATCGAAAGCTCTTCTCCTGGTCCACTGCAATCTCGAGGCTAGCCTTGGTGAAGGGCATGAGCTTTGGCTGCTTCTGTGGTACTTTAGGGATATAGAAGGCGCGGTTGCGCGGTACTAGACTGAAAAAGCGAGGGGGCACTTTCTCCTCGAAGTTGGGCCACATCTTCTCGAACTCCTCTCTCGATGTCTTTGGGGCGTCTGGACCATCGTTTTCCTTGCCAGCGCGCGCCTGCTCAAACAGACGCTTCTGCTCGAGCCACTCTGGGTCGTCGTCCTCATCGTCCTGCTGTGTAGCACCGAAAGCAACATTCTGCGAGGCCGACTGCGGCCTCCCATCGCCAGCCTTGGCAGTATGCGGTTGCGCTCCGCTGATCAGATCTTCGATGGAGTCGACTGGCTTGTCCTCGTGGTGGTGCGCACGTTCTTGTACAGGGCTCGAGAGGCCGTCGCCGAATAAATCGTCCATGTCATCTCCGCCATCTTCAAAGCTCTCGCCAGAGTCTTGCAGCGTAGTTCCGCTGAAGTTTTGTGTACTCGAAACCCCACCGTTCCCTGTCGTGAACTCCTCTTCTGGCAAGTCATCGTCGGAGATGTCTTCGTAGTCGATGGCGTCGTCTGCCTTCTCTCCTCGGTCGAGCTCGCGGTCGTTCAACGAGGCAAAGAAGTCTTCTCCACCTGTCGCAGCACCAACTTGCGCCGACTGAAGCAGCTTGCCCAGATCATCGTCGTCTGCGTCGTTCGCTTGCGCGGCCGCCGGGGGAATCTGGTCGAGAGACATGGTCACGTGCGGCGCAGTGGTGCCGGTTGTCGGGCAGTTGCCCTATGTGGAGGTGCGCAGTCAAGCGCGGATTTTGCGCAAAGAGTTGAGCGCTTGGTCGTCGACAGTGAAAGCGCACTGCGTGGTGGGTAGATCGTCGAGGATTGTGCCGTCCCTCATGCACGCCTCTGCCGCCGCCAGTGTCGCGCGCAGCCTTATGTGGGCATCCACGAACTTGTCCAGTGGTGTGGCGAGCGATCGAGGCCGTCGTCGGCAGGATATGCCGGTATTCGAAGGCGTCGAGGTCGCAGTTGCCCGCAGGCGCGTTGTCGTGTACCATAAAGGTGATGGGCAGAAGCTCAAGAGCGGTCCCGGCGCACGTACCAACGAATGACGAGCACCTGTGGACGCGTCGAACAGTGAAGGGCAGCCTACGCGGCGTGTTCTTCTACACAATAAGCCGACGTCTTGATGTTCACATTCTAGGACTTAACAGTCTCACTCGTGTTCATACAAAGGCTGAAGTACAATAGTCTGCATGTCATGTAGGCTTCTTCTTGTATTTTGCAAAAATTCCGCTCATCCCAGATGTTATTATACATGGATCCGCTAAGGATCGTCCGTTCGTTTATTGGGCAGAAGATTACTCCTCTTCCTCCTCTGCAACGTCGAAGTTGAAGTCCCCGAAGTAGGCGCATAATGCCTAAATGGCGTCAGTAACCTACTCCTCCATCAGACGAGCCTTACATACCTTGCTGGCAGCCATGATGGTGTAATGTGCTACCTCTAGCTTTTGCCCTTCGGGCACATATTTTGCGATTTGATTCAAGTCTGAGTTTCGAGGCAAATACAGAACAAGCTCTTTGCTGATTTTTGTGAAGCTCTTGTATAGCTTATCGAGGTTGTATGGCTCCATCTTGGTCAGATCGAACACATCATCCTCGCCATAACTGGTACCTGCCTTGGTCAGTCCCAAGTCGCAAAGAGCTCTGCGACAGACATCCTTACCTCCCCACGGTGGACTGGCGAAGATGACAGTGTTTTTTTGTCCTGCAAATCTGCTCATGGCCTCGAAGCAGTCACCAGCTAGCCAGAAGATCTTGTTTGCAACACCGTAGATCTCTGCGTTGTGCTTCGCACACTTCAGCGTCTTAGGATCTTTCTCGATGGCGAAAACCCGCTCCCAGCGACCTGAGCGAGCCAGCGCGATTGCGTTGCCACCTACGCCTGCGAATGCATCGATGATCACGGTCTTCTCTTTTGGTGCTGACTCTGCTATATGCGCTGCGATCTTGCTTGAGCTTGTCAGAGACGTGTTGAGGCAGAACATAAGAATTGACTTACTTCGCTATGGGCTCCGGAGTGACACCAAACCATGCATCTTCTGTCATCCAGATGCCTTTGTCGTATTTATCCCAGATCTTGAAGCGTTGAAACCAATATCTTCATGAAGTCAATATCATTGGCTAGAAGCGGTGAAAATTGAGTCGCTTACTTTTGCAGGTGTCCAGGAAACTGATCAACGCTCAACCATTGATGGATGCCATCTGGTACCTCCTCCATTCTGCTTGGGCAAATGCCCTTCTTTATAGGTCAGGTGTCTACACTAAGCTCTGGACACAAGGTAATCGAAATAAGTAGTGCCAAAGACGTTAAGAGACTGCAAACGGGTGCCCTGGATATAAAAGTTTCGTTGTGGTTGTGTCGAGTGTAGGACTTCGAAGCTCTTGAGAAAGCAACTTCATAGCGCCTTGCCTCTTCTGACCTAGTGTACTCCAACGGCGACTGCCTTTCTCATGTCTTCACGTTCACCTCGTGCATAAATATCTCCTCTGATGTGGGATTTTCCAATGACCCAACTGATTACTCAAAGTTCAGGAATCTACAATTGTAGACTTGCAACACCACAATACGAGCATCCTGAACCGCGCACTAGCGCACACGCGCTACCGTGTCCGTGCGCGTAATGCGCGGATTCGCGTAATGCGCCAAACCACCTTTTTGTACCCATACTTCACTGTACAATTACTCAACGCCACAATGACTATGAAATCTGCCTTTGAAGAGATAGACTCTATGATACCATGCGATAAGATCCCGTGGACAGCGCTGGCTAAAAAACATAAGGTTGTGCGCTCAACCCTGTCTCGAAAATATCGACACGAGACGCGATCGCGTGAAGAGAAGGCGATTGCACAACAAAAGCTCACTCCACAACAGGAGGACGAGCTTGTCAAGTATATAGAGGAGCTTACAGCTCGCCGTCTACCTCCTACAAGGGAAATGATAGCAAATTTCGCGTCGTCAATAGCCACAGAGCCAGTCAGCGAGAGCTGGGTTACCCGCTTCATCAACAACCACTCGATCCATCTCATCTCTCAATACTCAACAGGTATGGACAGCAATCGCCACAACGCTGATTTGTATACCAAGTACAAGCTCTATTTCGACCTGTTGCAGTTGAAAATCGCCCAATACAACGTTGACGCTGAGCACACATACAATATGGATGAGAAGGGCTTTATGATCGGAGTCACCACCAGGACCAAGCACGTCTTCAGTAGACGTATGTGGGAGAAGAAGGAGGTTACAGCAACTACTCAAGATGGTAATCGTGCCTGGGTGACGCTTATAGCGTGTGTGTGTGGGGATGGATCGGCACTGCCACCAGGCCTCCTATACGAGTCTACCAACAACACTATACAGTCAAGCTGGGTGGAGGAAATCAAGCCAGGGGTACACTCTGTTTTTGTTTCCTCATCACCTTCAGGCTGGACGAACAACGAGGTAGCTCTTGCTTGGCTCAAACAGGTGTTTGATCGCTATACCAAGAAGAAAGCACGAAGAAAGTACCGCCTATTGATACTAGATGGCCATGGATCTCATGTTACGATGGATTTCATCAACTACTGCAATCAGAACAGGATACTCTTGGCTATACTTCCTCCTCATTCAACCCACACGCTCCAGCCACTTGATGTGGTGATGTTCAAGCCTCTCTCAACAGCGTACTCGAAGGAGCTCACAACACACCTTCACCATGGCCAGGGACTGTTGGTTATCAAGAAGGGCAACTTCTTCCACCTGTTCTGGAAGGCGTGGACGAGTACGTTCACTCAGGGGTTGATACTCAGGTCCTTTGAGGCTACAGGTATAGCACCCCTCCGACCCGACGTAATCCTCCAGCGATTTGCTAAGCCCACCCCTGAGGGCTCCGATAGCAACAGAAGCTCTTCTTCAGTCTACAGCGGCAAGGATTGGCTCAAATCAGAGACTCTGTTGCGCAAAGTCGCCAAGGACGAAGGCAGTGAAGACCTGAAAAAGATCAGGCGCTCACTCCACCACATCTCAGTTCAAAACTCAGTCCTCCACCACGAGATTACAGGCCTTAAGGAGGTTCTCAAGACTCAGAAGAAGCACAAGAAGAAGAGCAAGCCTCTTGAGCTTCAGCGTCACAAGGACTACCACGGTGGAGCCGAGTTTTACTCTCCTAGTAGAGTAGAGAAAGCACGCGCACGTGAGAAGGCAAAACAACAAGAGCAGAAGGCAGAGGTGCTCAAAAAAGCAGAGATGGCTAAACTGAGGCACGCCAATAAGCTGTACAAGGAGAAGATTGCACAGGAGAGGCGTGAGCAGAAGTTGAGGGAGAAGGAAGAGCGTGAGCAGCGGAAGGCTGAGAAGGCTCAGGAGGTTGCCGAACGCAAGGCCGAAAAAGAGCGTCAACAGAGGGAGCGCAACACCAAGAAACCTATACAATTGTCCCAAAGAGGCAAGCGCAAGGCCTCAGAGGTTGCAGCACCCAGGAAGAAGCAGAATCATGGTAGTGCAGCTGCTCGTAGTCGTGCTGCTGCTGCGCCTCGCTCCCCATCCCCTCCGGCAAAATACAACAGCCGCGGCCGCCCAATCAGAGTGCCACAAAAGTTTGAGTGAGGAACTTGTTCATATAGGTCTATAGACTACTCCACCAGAAAATCTCATGATAATAACCATTGTGTGTGGCTCTACAGCCTCATTTTTGGTGGACCTATTTTGGTGGTTCGGCGCATTACGCGAATCCGCGCATTACGCGCACGGACACGGTATGGCCACGACAACCCTGAACAAGAACGCCCAACCTGTCATCAACACCAACACAACATCACCAGCTAACGGAGCACCACCACGCATCATGTCTGCACTGTTTGGGTCTCTTAATCGCTTCATCTCTCGACTCGATGCTGCCCCGCAGGAACAGCAGCAATCAGGTGTTGGGGGCGCATATGGTTTCCAGGTCTTGAGAAATGCGAATCAGGAGGTACCTTTGGAGCCGTGGTTCGATTTCATCATTGGAATCAATGGCAGGACGATCGTGAGTGCGCAAGAGATGGAGCCCTAGGACCGACGAAGTTGACAAGCAACATAGGACAACCCTGACCCCGGGCTGTTCGCGACAGAGGTGCGCAACTGTGCTGGCAACACGATCAGTATGGGCGTCTTCAGTGCAAAGGTAGGAAGCACTGCGTCTCTTCAACCATCAGGAGCCATTTCATGCCCATATAACTTTCGGTTCATCACTTCATTTTCTTTCAATTCATCCGTTCATGTGATCATGTAATTGTTTTAATTAAGATGAGCTATCTCTCTACTCACGCAAGAAGCTAACTTGCTCATCAGGGCCAAGTGATCCGCGAAGTCTACATAAGTATCCCGGCTGAAAAGCCAACTCTGGGTGTCTCGCTGCAATGGTCACCTCTCGCCATCGCAGAAGACGTCTGGCACATTCTCGATGTAGCTCCTAACTCTCCTGCCGACACTGCAGGTCTGCTTCCATATGGTGACTACGTCATCGGCAGTCCGGAAGGTCTTGTTCGAGGCGAGTCAGGGCTAGGTGAACTTGTCGACGATGTACGATCTATTGCTTCCTGGGAAGCTATTCAGACTGACGTGATTACAGTTCCTCAATCGTCCGCTGCGACTACTTGTGTACAACCACGAGTACAATGTCACGCGACCGGTCACCATCACTCCAACGCGCAGTTGGGGCGGTGAAGGGGCGTTAGGCTGCGTGCTTGGCTTCGGCGCTCTTCATCGCATTCCTGCATCTCTGGAGGAGCCACCACAAGCGCCAGGAGAGACCTTGTTCTCTGCGAACAGCGCGCCAACATCTTTCGATGAAAAGCGGCCTCTGATCTCTGATGTTCCTTCCGGTCAAGGCAGCACCAGCAATGGATCCGAGCTTTTCGTGCCAGCGAACATTGCCATGCCAGCGAAGTCTCCGCCACCGCAAGGCACGGCACCGCCGAAGAGGAAGCAGCGGGCACATGTTGCCATACCTGGGGACGGCGCCCTGGACGACTACTTCAAAGAAGGCGAGCAGAAGAGCAAGGAGGACGACTACACGCCTAGAGGCAAGGGTGGTGTGCCTCCTCCACCAAAGGCTGGTGGACCGCCTCATGGACCGCCAAAGAGCGGCACGCCTATGCAAGGCGAGCCTGAGGCGCCAGCCGCAGCGGAAGAAGCATGACGTGCTTAGATTGTTGACTATAGCAGCGTTAGCTTGGAGAAGTGTGCAAGACGGTTGAGTGGACGACATACCCATTAGATCTTACACGAATCAAGCAAAATCATTCGAAGAGTTCTTCACGGAAGCGGCTGACCCTCCTGTCCTTCTTCTCTGTCTCTTTTGGTGTTTCATACACATCGTCGTCCTCCATGAAAGAGTCCATCCTTGTTTGTGTTTCGGGCCGTTGCATGCCGTATTCTTTGCGCCCACTCACCCTTTCGAAGGAAGAGACTTGTGGTGAGGTTGGTGACGTAGTTGTCGATGACGAGGGCGACATCTTCGTCTTAATCTTAGTCGTGAGAGTGCGTAGGATAGCCATGTTGATAGTTGATTACTGATGTTGGGATGTAGCGGATATCTGTGTAACAGTCGGGTACGTTGGTAAACTCGAGTAAACGTTGGGGTACAAAGCAGTGACACACGACACCTCCTTTCAACTATATACAAAGACACCCACATCGACATACTTGCCCGCATTTATCGAACCCAATAAAGCACCCGCAGTAGTCCAAACCACGTTCCCCTCGTGTAAACATCCAGACCGCAGGGCAATCCTGAACTAGCCGCCGATCTCCAACGTTGCTCGCGACAGGCTCGTTGCGCTTGCATCCTTGCGCACGCCAGGCACGTCAAAGACGCCAGACGCGTCGCCCCAATTTTTTGCCCAATGCAGGGCCACCTCACCAAACCACTGACTCCTGTTGGCCGAGATGCCCGACCCTGGTCCTATGTGGTAGCACACCCGGGAAAGACACCTGGACAGGAACAGATGCTGGCTTTGGGATAGGAAATGTGTCGGTGGCCGGGGTAGCAACGGCTACTAGACATCTAGCAGTGCCAATTCACACGTTCACCGCTCGTTGACCGTTCTTTGCAACATGGGTTTTGTATTGGTATGCAAGGCAGCTAAATATTTAGCACTACTCTCCCATTGGCCTGTCGCCAAATGGCTGAGGTCTTGCGGGCAAGATGAACAACGAAATTGGGGTCATGCGATGTCTTGCAGCTTGCCTGCATGCTGCGGCGATCAACCACCTTCGAGTCACGCCTCTGCTCATCTCTAGAACCGCTCAACAACGATCTACCTGACTAACACGTCTGCTGCCGCCAAGCATATACGACTCTCCTCGGAGTCAACAATATGTTGCGACTCCCATGGACATAAACAATTGCCATCTCGCCCGAGATACGCTCGGTCGGCTGCCTGCCCTTTGGAACACGTTGAAGCCTGGGACCCTAACGCTCGTGTCCGCCAAACCATTCACACCAACGTCCGCCAAAGCGCAGTCTTCATAAGCCGGCAAACAGCCAAAGCGCACCGGGACCCGTCTTCGTCGCTGACAAGTCATGATAACCCACTTGGTTGTTGAACGGTGGTCGCCCCTGCAGCTCAGAAACTTCAAAAAAAGGATTTTGCCCTGCATGTGCAATCTCGCAATTCCCATCCCCGTCCCGCTCAGTGATTTCTAGAACCTCGGGTATCGGAATCCCTCCACGGGCCATCGCTCACCTGCCGCGGTTGCTGTCGCTGTGGTCCCACAAAGTCCGTTACAGACAGCAAACACATGTTTGACTCGAGCCCTGACGTTCTCCTGACCAAGTTCGTCTTGCGGAAAACCCTTTGCCGTGGGAAGAATCTGGAGACAGTGACAGCTGCATATTCGTCAGCTGACAGAACGTGAACCATGGGTCATTCCACCGCATCTTTGTTTCCAGCGTTGACGTCGTCATAGAATCTCCAGTCCCAGACAAAGGCTGCGCGCAGGTTTGGTAGAGGACGCTGCCGAGGAACAAGCTCCACGGATGAGCTACCGTAGTCTAGCGAGGTTTGAATTCCGCGGTTACGTGAGCTGTCACGGTCACGAGCAGTTGCCCCAAGGCAGTGTTTGTTAATATCTGAATTTCATGTAAACAGCAGCGATCTGTTCTCGACTTTGGTGATCATAGTCTATACCTAATGGCATTGCAGGTGAGAGCCAATGTCGATCTTCCTCATTTTGGCTATTTGCTGCAGTTTCGTCGTGAGAAACCCTTCACCTCCTCTGCTCACTCACGATCTGAATCATGCCATATCAGGACTGTCAACAACGAAAATGAGTGAGAATATTGGTTTGATGAATTCGAAGACCTGCCATGCCGAAGCATGCAGTCAGAACCACTTCATTGCAAAGAGCGTCTATCGATACGTAGCTTGTATCCAGACAGCTGTACGCGCCACATGGGCAGCCTTGTGAACGCCAAAATTCAGAATGCCACCCCCAATATTGACCTGCGGTCTATGCAATCTCCAAATTATATCCCAAAGAACGCCATTCTGCTCTGCTGTGCTAGTGATGCGTAGTAGCGATGTATCAAGGAGCCGCCCGTTGTGGGACTGTGTCATAAAATCATAACGCCGTAGATAAAGCCATATGTGAAAAGATTGTAGTAGAACAGAAAATCATCTGATGTCCAACTGGAAAGGCTTGAACTTGCCGCCAATGGCGTTGCATCGTGGACACCGTGGTGCTCTGCCACGAGTGTGTTCGCTGACAAGGACGTCAACGCATTCTTGGCATAGGCCGCAGATGCATTCGGAGCATGCGTAGCTGTCTCTGAGGTTCGATAGTTTGCGGCAGGCAGCACAATAGATCTGGACGGGATAAGGAAAGGTAGGAGACGAGTCGGAAAGGCCTTGTGAGGGTATGTGAAAGTTTTGACCAGAAATCGCTGACTCGATGGATGATTCGACGGAAGGGAACGGCTGCAGCTCTGACATGTCTGCTGGTGGCGGCGTCAGGGAATTCACCAGCGGCGATGCTGTATAAGACTGTAACTGTGAGGCAGCAAACGGCGGCAATGATTTCCGGTTGTCCATCATGTGTGGTGACATGAACGGCGACTGGGGCACCTTCTACAGTCAGCTCAGAAACCACACGAAAATCGGTTGTACATACAGGGGTGAGGTCTCGACTGTCTTCCTCTGTAGCTGAGGCTGCAGCGTCAATAAGGTCTTCCCATCTCTTACCAAGAATCGCTGCAGCTGTTTGAGGCTCGGCGGAATATGCCTTCCTGTCATAGCTCATCCGACGGGTATGGTCTTTGGACTTCTGCCGCTCATGCTTGCCTTTGCGGGCATTTTGTCCTACTGACGACTTGCGAGGTCGATTTGGCTTTATGGATCGAGGAGCTGGCGGCAGCGTAGAGGATCGACCGGGCGGTGACCGTGCAAGTGATGAGGGTAGGAGCTCACGGTGTATCGACGTGGACGTGTAGTAGGGTTCTTCGGCAGTGATGTGCTGCTCTAGAGCGGTGGGGGCGAATCGTGCGCGAGGTTTGTAGCCTTTCGAGTCCGGCTCTGATATTGCGTCCTAATCACGACAGCTGCGTCAGGATGCCACTTCATGCAGGAAAGCTGCAGAGAGCTGCAGAGAGCTGCAACATGGATGCTTACCGGGTCTGAGTCCCACTCGAACTCTGGGCGGTGATTGTGCAACGAAGCAAGGGCGGCTGCAGCCGTGGCAGCTGGCAGGAGCGACCCTCTGCGCAGCAGTTCGTCGGAAGTGCGTGGGTCGCTCGAGCTATAGTCGTCGTTGTAGAAGACACTCAAGTCGCCTGCACCAAAGCCTTGCCAATGTGTCAGTCTCCGCTGATGGTGGGGAGACGAGGGCACCAACCTTGTGGGCCTGCTGAGCTTGCGGGAAGGGGTTGCGGGGGCGGGCGCTCTTGTGGTGGGGTGTTGACCATCAACGTGAAGCTCTCCTCGGTGGCAGGGAGCTTCGAGATGTAGTGCTCGGGGTGGGCGCGGCGAATGTGCTCCTGCATGGAGCGGTACCGCTTCTCCTGTGCAGCAAGGCGTGTTATTCAAGATCTAGGTGAGCAGTGGCGGAGCTCGCCATGACGTGGATACTGCAGCTCCAACTTCAGTAGACGACTCGCGGGAGACTCACCCCAGTGCAGCGCTTCCGGCAGGCCGAGCTGTCATGGTTGCGCAGCGGACAGACGACGACATTGTTCTCGTCTGAGACCGAGAAGGATCCCGTGAGCGAAGCTCGCGGCGGCATGGCCAGCATCTATCCGCCGTGTCTGTGCGAGTGTGTGGGATGAGCCCAGAGTGAAGACGAACGCACTGGGCGGGGTGTTGGGCGTCAATGGCACTTGCAGAGCTCTGCAACGCCGAGGTGAAGCTGTGTTTGAGCTCGAGAATGTGTCGCAAAAGGTCAGCAGCTGGAGTTATTCGGCACACCAAGCTCCGGGAGCAAATGCTGGTCGAGGGTGAAAGAAGTAAGAGTGGTAGCGGGGTACGCTTCCTGATCCGGTGCCTTTGACGTCTGCTGAGAGCTGTACCTAGAACTAGTGAAACTGCCGAACTTCAAACATGCGAATGCAAGTAGAAGAGGAATAGTACTCGTGAGAGCAAAGCTGTGATTGAGCTGCTACTATCAAGGAAAGCTCTGCTCCATGTCGCCGCCCACTCAGCTCAAAGCTTCACCTGTCAGGATGTGATAGCTCAGAGCTCTGGCCAATGCCGAGTCTTGCATTGATGATTTCGGCGGTGCCCAATGAACCGCGGCCGTCATGATTCAATACCGCGAAATTTGCTCTCTAGAGCGCAACAAGCCTGCTCCTAGTCGTGCTCCTTCACAGTCAAGCTGGCGGTAAGCATCTGCGAGGGTTAGTGCAACGCAGTGCGCCGACCTTCGCGACAATTGCTCTCCGTAAGCAGAACGGTGAGCAGAACCAGCAACCTCGTGGCTGGCGAGACACTTGCTTCAATGGCAATCGCGAGAGCCGCATCAGCCACGAGTACAACGTCGTTGATAGCTAGAGACAGTTGTTGCGATAACGCGCCTACCTTCTGCGCTGAACAATTGCGCGGCTCAGTGAACATCAGCTCATTCGTCACGTTGAATGGAGCCAGCCGGCCCATTGGCAATTGGCGAAGAGCGGAAGTGCACCCAGCAACCTGCGGTTAAGACCAACAAAACCATAGCAGACGGCGATTGATGATGACTGTGATGCAATGACAGCCGCTGTTCGATGAATTTGGTGATGGTTACTGATGAAAGGTGTGTGTTGGAGTGTTGGGAGAGAAGCGCCACGATAAGTTCGATGGACTGTCTTCCCGGGGCCGCTCGCGTGGAAGTGCCATGTTTTCTGCCAGGGTTAGCGCTGACAGCTCAAGCTGAGGTGCACAAAGCCGTCGAAGTTGTGACTTTGAGAGACCAAAGCTCTTTAAATACAGTCTGTGAACTTATTATACATTGAGAGTGCTTAAAAGACTATGCTCAGATTTGTAAGGTTCCAGTAGCGGTCTTAGATCCACTGAGAGTCTCCAAAGTTGATCGTGAGTGCCGACATGCAGCCGGCTTTTCTTGCTTGCAGAAGGTTGCACCTTCCCGCCGCGAGATCCTTGGCCGTCTTGGGGCGGAAGGTGCAGACGAGACACCTTGTCGTGGCGTTCGCGAATAAGCTGGTGACGACGGTTTAACTCCCTCCCTGCTGCCAGAAGGAAGCCTGCTTTTCTCTCCTGATTCTCCTACCTCATGCTGTTCTTCAGTCTCACTTGCATAGACACTCTCCCTGAGGTGCGATGTCCCTGACAGTGAAGTCATTGAACGGTGACACGGCGTTTCTGCTCACTTTCAGCCCACCTGTGGCCCCACTGTCTTCCCCAGGGCTCTTTCCAGGATCCTTCACAATCCTTATCGATCCTTGGCTGGTCGGCCCATCCATCATCCTCAATTCGATCTTCTCCATCTCACACCAAAAGGCGCAACCATGCATCTCCCACCTGAAAGAGCTGGATTATGAACCGGATCTCATCCTCATCTCCCAAGATAAGCCAGACCATTGCCACGAAGAGACGCTCCGTCAGCTACCGCCAAATTGCGAATCTACGATTCTTGCAACTACACATGCCGCCAAAAAGATTCGATCGTGGAAACACTTTCGGCCTGAGCTTGTTCAAGCTCTACCTAAATACGTGCAAGGCGATGACCGAACTATCCACCGTGTTGTGCTGCCGCCGCCAACACCAAGAGGGTCATGCGGCGAGGTTACGATAGCATGGATGCCGGAGAAGCGGGACGTATCGAGGCTGCACCATGCCATTGGCATTACATATCGACCTCCTTACACAGTGTTGTCGGCTACGAAACCGGGCTATTACCTCGACCTTCCCATGAGCCCACCTGCATCACCAGGCTCACCTATGACTATAGCATCCTCACCTCGTGCCATCGTGCCATCGCCCAACCACGATCGTGAGAAGACACTATCTGTTATTTACTCGCCGCATGGAGTGTCTTATGACATCGTTCGCTCCTACGCCTCTTCATACCTGGTCTCAGAGTCGGCTCTTCCTCTGACAGCGTTACTGCACTCCTTCGACTGCGTGGACAACCCATGGTATCTGGGTGGGAATATATCGGCTGGGTCTCCAGGTGGCATTCGAATCGCTCGTGACTTGTACGCCAGAGCTTGGATCTCAGCGCACGATGCCGACAAAGACAATTCGGGATGGTCTGTTAAACAAACTCGTGTCGCGAAGTCTACCATTGACCACATCACGAAGATGCTAGAGGACAGCCATGCCGAGAAGTGTCGAACCGTTCGCACTGATGTTGTCAGTCTAGCGTCTGGCGAAGAACGACGCATCGAAGGGTGAATGGGCGGCTGGACTACAACAGCATATTCTCATAAGCGAGCTCTCTGGGAGTGAAATGGCTCACTACAAAAGAGAAGATCCAACACAACCATGTTCGCCACGACAATGTGCGGCAGCGCGCCGAGGCAGACTTACTGCAAGCGCCCGAACGCATCCACGTCCTGTGCGTGTCGATCCTCGCCTTCCCCATGTGGGTTATATGTAGCAGCTTCAGCGTCTTACTTCACGTTTCGGCACGGGAATCGACGTGGGATCCCACATTCAACACTCTCTTTGATTTTTTGCGGCTCTTCAGATCATCCTGGGTATCGCCTGGCTTTTGGTCATGATCGCTGCTGCAAAGGCCATCGATAAGAAGAAGAACAGGTGGGTGGCTGAGGGGGTCGCGAGGGGAGCAAGGAGAAGACTGGAGGAATATCAACTGGAGGAGTATCAACTGGAGGAGTATCAACTGGAGGAGTATCAACTGGAGGAGTATCAACTGGAGGA